CTTCACTGGTGCTTTTCTGATCTTTTCTCTCTAATCATGTCACGAGGGTCAAACTCCGAGCCAGAGGACGAGACGTCCCTTCACCCCCTCCTTCCGTCTGCCATGGACATTGAGGAAATTTAATCACAGACCTCTCTTATCCTCGTTTTGATAGATCTTTATTTCATCTTCCATAGGCTCTGACCGTCTGATGACTGTGTCCCTCTAGCCTGGGAGGGAGGGAGAGAGAAGGAGGGAGAGCGAGGGGGAGGGAGGGACACAAGTGCCAATCCAAGTGTGATTACACTTCAGCCAGCTTAGAGCTGCTGCGGCCACTGCTCCAATTATTCCTTTGAAAACTCCAGTTTTATTGTGTCATTTGAAATAGTAGCATCTTTCAGAGGCAACAAGAGCTCAGTTGATGGAGGCGGGTCAGGCTGGGACTGTACAGCACATACATCTCAGGATACATCATGTCTGAGGAATTTCTTTGACCAGTTTTATAAGTTTCTGACCCAGTGCTTCAGGCCCACGACTTGGCCCCAGTGCGGCCCAGTCTGTTTTCACTCAGCTGGTTCCTCTTCCAGGTGACAGATGACAACAAGCATATGTGTGTGATGCCTCACATCCACACTCCTCCTCCTCCTGTGTAAACACTGATCCAGTGAGGACATCCACGGCTGTTATCTTTGCCTTTTCACACTTTGAAAGGACACATTTTCTCCAATTTGTTTTGGGCCTCGTACACACGGAGCGTCCTGTCTCAGCGTGTGCACAGGCACATCGGCGGTGAAGCTGTGTGAGGGTCGGGCTCTCATGTGTCTGTGTGGGTGATCCTTTAGTCGTATTTCAGCTCGTCCAAACTTTGATTTCTCGAAGGATGACTTTTCCTTCTGCAGCGGCGTTCCTGTGTGTCCTCTGTGTTACTGCGTCTCACTGTTGTTGGAAAAACAGCTGTGTTTGTCCTCTCGCTCAAAAGACTCCTGGATATGACCAGAGCAGCTCCTCTTCTCCCCTCTTACTCTCTGTATATTTATATCTCTGACAGCAGGGTCCATCAGTGGACATCTGAGCTGATAATTCTGCGGCCATCTGAGCAAACTGAGGCTCCTCTGCAGTTTTATTAGAGCCAATTGACTGCAGACAGAACTAATGGGTTTCTGAGTGGAGCAATTATGACATGAGATCATTGCTGACTCTTCTGTCTTTGCCTGGTGTCAGTGACTGAGACAGCCCAGGACTCATTCGTCTTTAGGTGTTAATTGTTTTATCAAGGTGATCCAAGCTGAAGACACTCATTCGTCAGCGTCGCAGAGAAACAGCTCCCTCCAAAGAACTGTGTAATTGTTTCAAACTGACTTATTAACAGCCAAAGGAAACAATTACATCACCGTCTTTGCTACACATACTATCTGTTTTCCCTCACACACACACAAAAAACCTCACTGGAGGGCTGGTCAAAAAGTTTTTCAACAGATGATATAATCTTAATAAGTGTCCAATGTTTGAAGTTTTGCAACATGTTGATCAAACTCAACAATTTCCCCAGTGAGGGATCAATACAGTTCAACCTAATTTAATCTAACAGATTTGGATATAATTCCTTCTCCTTTTTTTTTTCTTTTCCCAAAACTAAAAAGAAAATTTGAAAGGAACTGTCAAAGACAATCACCAGAATTTCACAAAGAAGGAATTCTCTGATGTAAACACCGCTTGTAAAAGTGTTTTATCTTCAGTGAAGGAAAGAACTAAATGTGTTATTTTCATTGTCTCAAAACTTTTTGACTTAGCCTCAAACTGCCAAAAATGGAATCACATGCCACAGGAAGTGGCTTTCTGCAACATTTACACAATTCACTTTTTTTTACTGTGATTGTGACCTGAAATGTTTGACTCTTCCACCGAAAACCACTCTGTGCCTCCATCCTGCAGGGGCTGCTAACCACGTCAAACCCATATGGACTTATGAGTGATGAGTCAAGCTTTGTTTGATTGGACTGGTTACACCTGATTACGTGCTGTTGATGCCGCTGCAGCTCATGTGTGCAGCTTCTATTTTGCTTCACTCTGTGCTGAGCTCCAAACATTCACTTACGGGAGAGAAGAGTGCCGTGAAGTCTGAATTAATTCTGTTTTTGTTTGTGTTACCTGTTCGTTTGTATGCTTACAGTCCAGTTAGTCCAAAATGTGCACAAACATGCTGGAAATCAAAAGTTCCCGAAATTATATATTTGAACTTGTCTCTCTTGAGTGAAGTGAACAGAGCTCAGCCCAGTGTAAACACTGCAGCAGTCTGTATATGTACACGATACAGTCCAGTCTGGGAAAACACTTTGTTACGCTGCTCTGGATTTGCTGTTAGCTGCTGCCAGTATCGCATTTCCGGCACTGGGGAAATGTTTTGCTTAACTGATGACATGATATGAAAAATGAAAAAAAAACATGTTGGTTAAAAAACACACACTTCAGTAGAAAACTGAAGGAGACAATTTTCTAAAGGCCCAGAGTTTGTGTTGTGTCTGTGTTTGAAAGGCAGGGGTCGTTGTCAGATGACGGGATGAACACACGTTACATGTCTTATCTATTCTAGATAAGACATGTTCACTGATGTCTTGTATAGCGTAGCATAAGGGTTCCTATAGGAGATTCTTGTCAGAAAATGTATTTTTGTTCCTAAACATGATTTAACGTTATATTATTTACTAGTCATTTTAAAACCAAGCAGAACAATTTTGAATTTTCATTTATATTGGGAATATTTAAGCACTTAGAAACAGCAACAATATTATCTAATACAATTGCATAATATTTACCCACAGGTATTTTGATATGAAAACATACAGTAGCAGTAGTAGCAACAAGAAGTCAGTCTAAATTGACATACCGTTCCACAGGGTCACACACAGGTGGTAGCAGTGGTTAGTACTCTGCAGGCTGCCTTACAGCAGGCACGTCACCTTGGATGGCTTGTTCGATTCCCTGGTCGAGCTCGAGGTTCTCCAGCTTCATAACAAAAACAAAAATATGTAGATCATGGATTAGTTATAGTGATGCTAATTAGAATTAGAATAGTTGAAAATTTATATTTTGCAGATATTTGTAACTAGATATTTGATATTTATAACTTCTTCCGCTGCTACGGCACACACTGAACACACACTGCATTCTCCAGTGTCAGCACAAGCCGATGAGCTAACAGATCATGAACCCACTTAGAGTGAAAGTGATCCGACAGTGGAATCAGTAAAAGGTAAACTGACAGAGGAAGAAAAGCTTCAGCTGACAGAGGTGGATTCAAAGCCGGGGTCACTGAAAGCCAACGATTACAACATTGTTCTGTGTGCTCATTATGAGACCAGTTTAGAAAAAGGGGTTTACATGACTGGAAGCTGATGTTTATGTGTTTGACCTCCGTCCACAGAGTTTCAATGCCACTCCACGTTCTAAGATGAAGTTATGGAAAGGTGCCACTTTTGCCTTCATGCTCTGTGGTGCAGCCCTGTCCATCCTACTCCTTAAAAACATGGCCACTCTGGGACAGATCAGGCCAAGGACAAAGTATTCACTCACATCGACAGCTTCAGAAGCAACAGCCAGGACCTCACAGCCATCCACCTCATCCTCGTCGGCGCCACCCTCAGCAGAATCTGCTGAGCTGATGCAGATGGGTGGTCCGCGTCGGGTTTCCCGCTCAGCAGACAACATGAACTCTCTCCTCTCTGACTGTAAGATTGATGCTGGTTTCTTCCTTCTTTCCCACAACTGAGATAGAACGCTGTGTGAAAACCTATTACCTGTCTCAGCAGTTTACTGTAGTTTTCTAATGCTAATAACCTGCAGTCAATTAGCACCTCATAGCTCACCGAGTCTCCGAACAGCTAGGATGACATGCCCACAGTGGTTTCCCATGACTTCACTGAGAAGCAATTAAGACATTTTCTAACTTTTATGTGAGGGAACAATGATTTTGCAGCTGCCATGGTTTTGTTTAATGACTAAATAAAACATTCTTCACTAATAACAGCATGTTTTGTTTGGTTTTTTTTTTTATCTTGTTTATAACTGTTTATTATTTCAATTCTTCGACAGTTTCCATGATGTTCCAAAGTTTCACTGAAGGTGAACTGAAGCATATGGTTGGGACTTTACTGGACAGAAAGAGGAAGAAAAGCCGGCGCCTGGGCGACAGCCTGGCCCGGAGGACTAAAAGAGCGCGGAGGCCGAGACCCTGCTCTGTCAGGGAACTGGAACTAACAGTCAGTGAACTGGGTCTGGGGTACGACAGTGACGAGACGGTACTGCTGCGGTACTGCAGTGGACAGTGTACAGCCCACCGGCACAACTACGACATCACCATGGAGCACATGATGAAGGCGGGCTTCAAGGGCCGCAGAGACAAGGTCAGCAAAGGGCCCTGCTGCCGACCGACCGCGTTCGAGAAAAACTTTTCCTTCCTGGACAATAAGAGCCGCTACCACACGATACACAATGTGTCGGCAAAGAACTGCGGGTGTGTATGACCCGGTGATGATTCTTCATGCTGCTCTCAGGCATTTTTGGAACAAAAATGTTGTTAAAAAAACCTACACAAGGATCTGAACTCAAGATGGGGAGGAAAAAAAAAAGAAGAGAACGTTCTCACGGACAACTGGTGCCGTTTCCCTTCTGTGGATTCTTCTGTGCAAAAGACAGAAAATGACTGTTTCTATAAACCTTTTTTTTCTCTCTGTGTAGCAACACTGTTGACTGCATGTCAATAACAATAGCAGTATTTGTGATTTAGCACTGGCACAAGACGATACTGTTACTGAACCTCATGTCCATGCACATCTCCACGTCCACATAAGTCCACTGGGGACAACAACCAATCACAGAGCTACAAATGCAACACATGTTCAAATAAAATTCACCAATGGCAACTCTATGTCCTGTTATACACGGCCAGGAGCGGGGGTGTCATAAAACCATAAGAACAACAACTTCATCAACAGTATTTTGACCATTTTACTCCAAAACTGAAACATGGAATAAAATCTAATTCTGCCAAACATTTCACAAGAAATATAAATAATGTTCAACAATATTATCTACTAGTATTTACCCACAGGTATTTTGATATGAAAACATACAGTAGTATCAGCAACAAGAAGTCAGTATAAATTGTCATACCTTTCCAGCAGGTCACACATGGTACAGCAGTGGTTAGTACTCTACAGGCTGGCTTACAACCGGACAGTTGGATGGCTGGTTCGATTCCCTGGTCTGTCTGGAGCTTACATGTTCTCCTCCCCTTGTGTTCCAGGTTCTGCAGGTTCATAAGAAAAACATGTCGATCATGGATTAGTTGACGTCTTAATTCTAAACAGACTGTTAGTATAAATGTGAGTTGATTGTGTCGTTGTGCTGTGATGCCCTTAGACTGTGTAGGTGGTAACCCCCTCTCCTCCCCCGGGAACTCACCTATGACTTCTGTAATTGGCTCCAGCACCCTGCCTCCTCCCCCCTTCATCCTCCCTCACACAAACCCCCACCTGAAAAGTATGAAGGACTAGAAGATGAATATGTAGCAGATACATTTCCAAATGTACATTAAAAGTACGACCACCTGAACAGACCTTTGACGTGGTATAAAAATAAAGTGGGAGTAAATTATCTCTCTTGTAAGTATATAAAAATGTACACATGAACATTGTAACATAATATAAACATATATTTTAAACTTTTTGTTTAATAACTTATGGGCCTGATTGAAAAATGTGCAGAGTCAGTACTGGGCCCCGGTCCTTATGTTTGACACCCCCGGTCTGTAGAACGTACATTGAACCCTTTGACTGTTACCTTCTTACCGGTTTTGCGTACAGTACTGTTACTTACTGCAGTGTTATTACACAGGTGAAAAGATGTGTCCTTGGTACCGATATGTTGATCAAAGGAAATCCCTTTCTGTAGCTCCAGGTGTAAAAACCCACTCGTACTCTGTGACGTATTTATCCATGTCGTGTAGATTAACAACCAGAGTGTGTTCCTCCTCCAAACTCAGTCTCACACTCGTTACAAGTCTTTACAAATAACCTGCGTCTGCAGCTGTCCAACATAATGAGTCGATTCCACCTGAATGATTCATTCACTCAGTCGTATCTCAGATCAGTTTGTCCCTCGTCAACAAACCGTTGTCTGCAGTGATCGATTGGCAAATATTTCAAATGTAATCTGATCTCTTCTAATAACCTGTAATCATCATGAAGTAGAAACATGAGCTGGAAGATGTGTTTGCAGCCATCCAGTATATGTATCCCTCAGTACTACTTCTTCTGGCCCGTTCCATGCCTCTGTGTTGTGTTGCCTAGTAGATCTTTAAGGGAAAATAAGCTGTTAAAACCTATAATGAAGCATCGTTAACCTTCTTTCTGTATTTGGTTTAAACCCATTGCAAATGTTCGCCTGAAGTACAACGAATTTTGTGGGTTTTCTTTTTTTTTTTGGTTTTTGAAAAGTTGCAGTGCGTGGATGCAGTGCATCTTTTTTTTTAAATGTAGTTTATATTGTATTTATTTGGGACGTAAATTATGGTTTTGCATATTTATTTAGAGTAGCACACAAAAAGGGACTGCTTTATCAAGCAACTGTGCCAAAAATGTTTTATCTAACATTCTATACTGACTGCTGAATAAACAATATTCCAGAGCAGGGATGTGAACGCATCGTTTCTTCAAACCTCAGAATCCTTAGATGTCACATATGTGGGATTTGAATTGGGTTTTCAATAAGCAAAACTGGACCGATCTCGACAAAGAATTAAATGTTTATATAAAAATTAAAAGCACATTCAAAGCACTGGCAAAACTAGCCGTGCAACAGTGAGAGAGATTTGAGCGCAGATTAAATTAATTTACTGAAATGAAAAGTGTGTCACAGTGAGGCCTGAATCAGGTAAACCACATTCCATGTCCAAGAAGATGAGTTTAAACGTTTTCACTGATTCGTTTGTAATTGTCCTCTAATTGAAATGTAAAGAACAATAAGATAAATACTATTTAATTGTGTGGATGTGATACCAGAAAAGAAACAGACACTGAACTGCATGAGTAAACGTTTTAACCACACTGAGGTTGAATCTTCAGCAGCAGTGGTTGAAAAAAACAAAACAAAACAAAAACTTGCAGATGTGGCCATCGTTTTTTTCCTCTCGTTATTTGTCCACTACAAGTTTACACTATTCTGTGTGTATTTCTAACCAAGCACTGATTTGTCTTTTCTGCTCCACTTGCTTTGATTATTTTGGTCATCTGGGAGCCCAACCAGTAATTATGTTAAATAAGAGAGAGAGAAAAGGAGGAAAATTACAGGCTGGTCATGGTCACAGTGCTAAATCTAATCATTTCACTGGATTAACCACAGATGATAACCACGCTGTTGGACTGACAACAATGGAGGATAGAGTTCTTTAAAAAATGTAAACATAGTGAGAAACAATAGTATTTTCCTCCAGTATTGTCAAACAGTACCTGTGACAGACAGACTCCAAGTCTTCCTTCAGTCAAGCCTCGTCGTCGACCTGCAATCCACAACAACACAGGGATTAGCAGGAGTGAACAGTGGCATCAGCATTTGAATTTGAGAGACAATTACTGTAGTACTGTAGTACTGTAGTACTCTGGTGTATTTACAGAATGTAGAAAAGTATTTCACAAAACTCCAAAACTAATAGAATCAAAAAGATGTTGCGGGTCAAAACTAACTGTATTTGATGACAGAAATGTCAGTATATACAATATATATTCACACATACTGTACATATATGCAAACTTTATATATATTTATTCATCTTATATATATACATATATATATAGGGGCAGCCTGGTAATAGCATATCTGCTACTAACACAACAATTTCCAAAATATGGGATCAATATAGTACACATTTATTTATTATTTTATTACAGATATATACACATATATGTATATATATGTAAACATATATGTATACATATCTATACATACTGTATAGACTGTAAATATATACTGGATATAGACACAAAGACATATATGCACATATACAGTATGTGTATACATATATGGGACTTATTATATTAATGTGTGGCTCAAGTATACGTATTTTCTAAGGAGTCAACAGACAAAGTTACTCTGTTCACAGGAAAACATATACAGTTTCTAAATTCTCAGCTTTGTTCTGAACTGCTGTGTAAAAAAAAAAAAAATTCTTGTGAAAATGCCATTAGATATGTTTTCAATTTCTGCAATGGGAAAAGAACGGAGAATTTGACCTGTCTTGTTGGACGTGTATGACCTTTAACAACTGTTTTCAGTAAAGAAACATAAAAAAATAAATATTAAAAAAAAGAAAAAACTGGATTTGGATCAGCACTCACACAGGAGGCCACATGACATCTCTCAGTGAGACTGTCAAACAAGTGTATGTTCTTCCCAGCAGACAGTAGAGCCTGTCACAGCAGGCCCAGCACAGGTGTAATTGATATCATTAATTGTATCTACATTCCTTTCATGCGTGTCAGGTTCAGGGGCAGGTTGTTGATCTGAGTCCCTGTGTGATCACAAATGGTAGAAAGCCCATCCAGTAACCGCAGGGAAAAATAAAGTCCAAATGCATTCTTCTAATAAGGTCCTTTGTTGTTGCTACTACTAATTAAAGGCATTCTAGGAAAGTATTTAGAGGAAGGCGCAGCAGAAGGCGCTGCTTTAGGAGTATATAAATGCCAACATATAAAAGTCGTTTTTCCAAGCTGCCTTTGAATTAAACACAAATGTCAACAGAAATGACAACAGGAATGTAAACACTCGATGCTGTTGGTTTGAAAATACAGGGTATAATTAAGAAACAGTACTTCATGGTGCACGTAGTGTAGATGCCAACACTTAATGTTTTAAAGGTGTATTTTGGGGCTAAGGCTTACAGTAAGTTGTTGTTAGGCACTGCAGTCAAACAATTGATTAAGGCTATCAAACAATTTCATCAATTCATCAAAAATATTTACACTACCATCGTGCAAATATCTCTCAAATATCTGTTTCAAATCCTTAAACACACACTGATGTCTGTGGTGTGGCACAACTGTTGGAGTTTACCAGTGAAAACCGATCTGTTTCCCTTTGGGTTTTTTTCTTCAGCCAAGTGTGTTCTCTCTCCTCTGTTTGCCTGTGACGTAGTGTATTTAATGCAGCTGCGATGGAGAAATGACCACAACTCCCTGAATGTAGAGCAATTTCATATTTCATGTAGTGAGAATCGGAGGAGAAAAATAAAAGGAATGTCACTTGGAAAAGTGACTTTCACACCTGCTGCTGGAGAAGAGGGACGATCCCGCGTGGCCTCTCTGCAACTTGTCGTATCGCTGCTTTCCTGAAGTGCAAAAATATGCTGTTTTCAATGTTTACAACATCAATAAAGTGTTGGCCTCAGATGTAAACAGTCTCCTGCAGAACACTGTCTTCAATCAAAACAAAACTCCAAGCCCACTGCGTAGAATGGGACACTTGGGAATTAAAAAAAAGAAAAAAGGGAAAAAAGAAGGGCTGGTTAACATAAGCAACAATGGCAGGGAAATCACACATGGCAGACATTTGATAACAATGCATGATTAATCTGCACCAGCCCAGCGTTTGGGTTAAAAAGAAATAACCATCACTGCTATTTATTTTTCCTAATGTACTTTTCCCGGAGGTGATAATAGCAGGTTACAGTGGTGGCCAACAGGAGTTCATTAAAGCTCAATTCAACGAAGCAACACGTGGCTCTTACTCTGAGCAGAGAAAAAAAAAACAAACAACCAAAACAAGACAAATATTGGTGATTATTTCTGTTTGCTGAATTTAAGAAAAAAAAAAGAAAAAAAAAGAAAAAACCTTAACACTGATGTGTGTTGAAGGATTGTACTGTAAGTGTACACAAGACATCTGCTGTTGGAAACAGACAAGATCTTCAATAAACATGCCAGAGTTTTACAACCACCTCCCTAGTCCAGCTGCAGCGAGCTCGTCAGACAACTCTATCAAGGCAGAGAAAAAGAGAGAGAGGGAGAGAGAGAGAGGGGGGGGGGGGGGAGAGGGGGGGGAGGGGAGGGAGGGGGGGGGGGGAGGGAGAGAGAGGATGCAACAATGGCTCTGGAGGACCCAAACAGCCTGAACAACGGGACGAGCGAGTGAGCAGGTGTTTCTCGTCTTCCACAGCCGATCTGACCTCTGACCTCAGATTTTTCAACACGATCCATATTGGCTCTATAGTTATTCTAACTTAAACAATGTACAGCACACTGGGTGTGACACTTTCCATTACATGATAAGATTTACACAGCACTGGGGGGAGGTCAGTGATATAAATGACTGGGGTATAGACATATATATATATACATATATATGTATATATGTATGTATGTATGTGTGTGTGTGGTACAGTTTCTATTCATATGTTTCTTTTGTGCAATGTTTTTCTTTTAAATGTTTAACGGTAATGGAGGAAAACCCAGAGGCTTAGATTCTTGTAGTGAAAAAGAAAAAGCAGAAGGTGCTAAATTTGACAGCGCTGCTCATGAATGGCTTCATCTCCGCTGTGCCAGAGAATGACAGTCTTTCTCTGAGCAGACGGGGGGGGCGGTGGAGGGGGGGGGGCTGAACAGAGACTCCTCTGTGTTTGAACGGACCTCACTTACTGCCCCAATAACAGTCTCAGATGGTCCTCTGTGGACAGGATATGGCTGTGGAGATGCTGCCTGGTCGGCGTGCGTCAACTGTTCATGTGTCTGCGTTATCAGCCCGTGTTATTGATGCTCCACAGAGATACCAGCGCAGGGGTCGATGGTTATCATGACCATGGAATGATATTTATTATATTTCATCCTAGGTTACTGGAGCTGTCACTGTTTAATACCCTTTGAATATTACTGCAGTATTTTTATTACTTTAATACTAGAAAGCAGCAAATATTCCCTCAGTAGATTGACTGAGTTAAATCTACCCAAAAAATGAATAAATAGCATTAATACTGCTAAAACCCAGACTGCCCTGTAGGGCTGCTTTTTCTATGATTGTGACATCATCAACATCAACATGCAGTGGCAGTTATTATTACATCACATGCCACCACTAAAAAAAGGAAATTTGCTCTTCAAGTACAACCAAAGTATAGGTACTAAAATTCTTTGTTCCACTAGAGGGAGTCCAGGAAACAAAAATGGCACACGTACCCTATTTTGAAAAGTTCAATTTTATCGTTAAATTTAATGTTAAATTTAAAATGTAATTTAAAAAACAACTTTAGTACAGTTTTGTTTTTAGATGCATAGCTTTCCACCTCACATCTCCCCCTTGTGGATTAAAATGAGAAGGCAAATTAAATGTACAAATTAAAGATTACAAAGAGCAGAGGAGTGGACTTGGAGTGAACACGTTTTCAGAAATGTCTGAGTCAATGGGACTGGTACCTGACTCACTTCCAAGGAAAGAGTATTTATACTGTGGTAAGTATAGTGCAGTACTGCGTGCCATAAATCAACATTGAATTTGATGAATCAACTGTGTTGCCCTGGTATGGATTTAAACTTTGATTACAGTGCCACTTCATTTTATATTTAGATACACTATAAACTGGGTGTCTAAAAAGGTGCCAGGTTCACCTGCAACATGAAATTAGCACTTATCTAAAATATGACGTCATGTGAGGTCAATATAAATACTACTAGGGTATTCGTCCAGTAGTTTCTGGTGTCTGGCTCTTCTCCTTTTGTAATCACTGGGACTGTTTCCAGACTACAGTAATAGTGCGTAACCATATCTGACTGTTGACTCATGTATTTATTTACATTACCTTTATTTATTCATGGAATACTCCTCGGTTGTGTGCGCTGATCCGTGCTGCCGTCGTTGTTGCTCGGGATTCACTGGGAACAAATGATACAAATAAGGAATTAGAATTTCTTCATAGAGATCACGTAGGCAGACACTGTGGTTTCGTGCCTCTGCTGTTTACCCAGGCCGCTCCGGAGGATGAATGGTGTATAATAAAGCGTTGATATATGGTGTGTATACCTCCCTACCCTCCGTATAAAAGCAACACTCCTCATCCAGCCTTTGGTTTCAACCCAAGCATGCCACGAATACTATTAACAGAATGTTTCCATGACCATCTTTTATCAGCCTCTCTGTCTGAACCTAATCCACTTTGACTAGGTCCGATTAGAGCTGGGCCATAACTTCTCAGTCTGACTAAGACAACATGACTCATATCCAGATCAGCCTGTTGTAAGAACGCCTCACCTCAGCAGTGTTCATCAACATCTTTTAAAAATGTGGGATCAAAGGTGGCAATTTTAAATGATCTCCCTCTATCGCTCTCTCAGTTTTAGTTACGGTGGTAGAGAAAGGTACAGCTTGGAGAAGAGCGATAAGAACCGTGTTAACAGATGTCATTTGTTCTCACAGCTGAAGGGATTTATAAGAGGAGGCTGCTTGAGTAATCACCCCAGATACCGATCTCTGACCTTCTCCTCATTTAGCCATGCATATGAGGTCCTTCTCAGTCTGACATCATGGCATGTACAGACTTGAACCTGGTCCAAGTTCACTGATGTTCAGGAGCCGCCGCAGCACATATCACTTTCCAACAACTTCCACCTGGCCTGAACTGAACACACGCATGGCTACACTGTGTCATTAGCATTTAACAAGCAGGAGGAACACAGTGTGTTCAGTCACTTGATCTGAAAACAATGCAAATCAAAGCTGGGGCCGAGACTCAGACAAAACAAATACATCACACTGAAGACCGGGCCTGGTGGCTGTGGGTCACAATGTGGGGCTTTGATCTGAATGTGCACACTAACAGGCTCACAGTGGACAATCCAACATATTAGCCTCGGTTCTTTTCACACCACGTCATGAATTAGTTATTAGGAGAGACTCAAGTTCTGCAGAAATGTTGGACCAAAGTGAGGACGTCATGACGTCTCAGACCTACGAACCTGTGGCCTTCTGTAAATAGTAGATGAACTCAATCAATTAATAAACAACTGCAGTTTCAGGAAATAAATCAACATTAATAAATCTTTTTAAGGGAAACACATGAGAATATCAGTCAAATCCATCAGGATGAATCTGATTAATATCTAATCCACACCAGGGTTCAATCTCCTCTGCCTTCACAAACACACCAGCACAGAGCTCACCGACAGTGTTCACGTCAGGTGGATATTGTCTTTCTATGTTTCTTGCTCTTGTACATCTGTCTCTCAAACTGAATGTGGAATAAAAGACATGAAGGCACTGCTTAAAAGTGAATAAATTAACTGTATTAAGGAGCTTAGCAGGAGTTGAAAACATTCTGAATAAAGACGACAGGCGTTAATCCCTGCAATTATATCTGACAGAAGAAACTCAAACTGCTGACATTTCACTTGGACCAGACAGATCTCCCTGGTCTGACTGCTGCCTTACTGCCTGTTGTTCCTCCTCCTCCTCTGAGTATCTCACATCCAGGATGCTGTTTTCATTTTTGAGCACATGAAGAACATGCAACTGTACACAGAAAAACTGGGAATCAAACCCCAATCTTTTCGTCGTAAGGCAAGAGCCCTTACCACCGCCGTAAAGCATTGCCACAATTCCAAAGTCAACAAATGCAGCCAGGGCTTCATATGTACCCTCTGGAACGGAAACGTTATTTGTGTGGAGCCAAAGTATTTTTTGTGTGTCTTTGAAGGCTGTAATAAAGTTGTTTTTACCATCATTACCAGCGGTCGACAAATAAATGTAATTTTCAGAGTTTTACACCATCATTACAGATGAAATATCTGCACTGGAGGAACGTTCACTCTTTGAACAGACTTTCATCGCAGACAAAATAAGAGCTGTAAACACACAGTAAATGTGAACCTCATGGCGAACACAAAAAAAACAACAAAAAAAACCCTAAAATTTATTTGGGATATTTTCACCACTTTTCACGACCTGTGCTTTAACGCCTGCTCTGTCCTAGAAGTTTTACTGACTTTAGGTGTGATTCTTGTTCTCATACTGACAGTAGCGCCTCACATGGACTTCATATAAATTTAATGATGTTTCTCAGTGGGTTTGGTCGTGCAGGAGGCGTTCTGTTTGTTTTGTCAAAAAGGCCTGAGGTCATGATTATCCATCCATGTGTGAGCCACAGCAAACAGAGTTTTCAAACTGAAAGAACTAAAACCCACCAGTCCACACACTTCTGTCTGTGACCTTCAGGATTAACCTGAACGTGCCGTCTGTCATGCATGGGAACACAGCAGTTACTGTGATCATCATTATCCTTGTATGGCCCCCGTGCTGAGCTCCAAGGCTATAATAAAGGTTAATTCAGAAAAACAGTTCCGTTACTATGCAACATGCCTGAGCTGAACAGGTAGGACCGGCTGGAAATACTCCCCACGTCCGTAGTACAACTGTACTCAGAAGCCTGGGTGTGATTCACAGGTAATAACGTGATACAACGGTTTGTGTTTGATTCAGCGAACAAAAACATAAAAAGTACCATCAGCTCTTTAATGAGGCCTAATGTTCCATGGGAACATTTAGTTAATGAGCCATGAAAGAATAACAGTGTAAGTTACGTAACACAACATCGTTGGAAAAGACTTTTTTAAAAAGTTGAATGACATGTTCAACTAATTAACAGTAACACAACTTACATGCTTCCACCCTGTGTTTTCACTGCCCGGAGCAAACAGCAGCCACTGGCTGAGATTTCCAATGTGCACAGCGCCCCTCACTGTCCAGCTGGTGGAAATGGTACTCCCAGTAGGCCAGCGTTTGTTTGTTTGTTATGTTGCTGAGTTGCTTGCGTAACAGCTTTAGGAGGAAGGAGCGACACTCATAAATCAGCAGAGACTACAAACAAACCAAGAAAAGGAATGAGTGTTTTTTTTTTCTGTTACACCACAGGGGGATTTTATGCCACAAGGAGAGAAACAATTTAATACCATAAACATAAAAACAAGACCCAGTAGGCAAAGTTATTAGGTTACAAGGAATACCCCACCTGGAAGAGAAAACTGGACCAACTGTTCTTGGAATCACCAAAATGAAAAGTTGAAAAGTTACAATTACATTTGGAAAGACTTACCAAAGTCCAGGGACGTCTTTGGCACCAGGTCAGGACCTTCACTTTCATCACGAATGTTCTTCTAGTTTTGGGGGGGGAAAACAATCAGATGAAACCAGATAGAAACCTTCAAAGATTCAACTTTTTTTAACAGCTCTCCGTTCAAGTTTGGCTAAAAATACTTCAGATATCACCAGAAAATAATTACATTAAATACTATACAGTACACCGGGGGTCCTATGGTACCTGTGGCTGCATCTGGCTCTCAGATAAATCTTAGCTGGTACTTCTTAACGCAATAAGTAATAAATAATTTTGCTGATATTAAAGTAAAACATTAAAGAAATCATAGCGTTAAAATAATGCGTTATGTTAAATACTTGGTACGTCATCTTTTATTTCTGGCATAAAAAGTGAAAACAAAGGTCTGACGGTGAAAATATAAAGTAAATAACAGTACTGTTAATGATAAAAATTAATATAATCTAATTAATTAATGACGGAGCTCCTAACATGTACTGTACACCTACCATAAGGACAACAGAACCCGACTGTTGCTCCCCGGGGTTCACTCTAATTAGCATATGGGTGTAACCATATATTTATAACTCTGTTACATGTTTTAATCCATACAATATTTTTTTTTTTTGCCCTGGGGCAATGGGGGAGGATTAAGCCGTAATAAAATGATTGGAATTTGGCTGGTAAAAGGTCGATGTGTAAAACACAAGACTATGGAATCACGTAAACAGAATACTGTAGATGCGCTGAGGGATGAAGTACTATGACTGACATCCAGGCGGTTGGAAAAGGCCTAAATCCACAAGGCGGTGATACGAGTTTTTACATGCATTAACAGAGACTACGGGGTTGAGGAGAAAAATACTTTACTCCTGAGTCACTACAGAAAAGTACACAACAGACAACGTATGCAGTGCAGAGGTATGTTGGTATTTTAAAATATTTAAGTGCTGTTTAAGGGCCTGTTGCCACAGACAGGGCTGAAGTAATTGGTCAATTGAAATATGGCTTACTGATACTTTATTTAATTAAAATATTTTTTTTGTTTTAAACTGGCAGGTTTCTGGTTTGACACATTTGAAGGATTTTCAACAATAAAAGAAACCTTCAAAACATCCACTAAATATCTATTAAAATACTTGAACTTACACTCGAAAACATTCTTCTCCATCTACTCAAAAGGACAAAATTACTATTCATCACCATCAGGTATGCACGTCAACCACCGTTATGTAACCAGTGTTATTTTTCCTGCTGCAGTTGTGTTCCCTCAAGTCTAGTTTATTTAAATCTGTTAAGCATCAGTGATGAAAACAGGAACAAGTTGTACTGTAATATTTTAAGACACCTGAAAACCTGAAAATACATCAGCTCTGGTTGAGGGTTTTTTTTCTTTAAATAAACATTACGTTAAATTTCTTTGTTGAAACATAGAAATAGTGTCATGCAGTTTAAGTGGAACTTTTTTAAATTGAAATGCACTTTTGGAGAAAAAGCTCTGCCCATAAAAGCTTCTTTAAATTTCCATTTACAGTAGCACACGTTTATAAAAATGTCAATGGTAAAAAAAAAAGGTTGCGGACTTCTGCGCCAAGATAAATATCTTACTAGTTTTCAGTCTTCGTATTAAATCTTTAACCATCAGTTCCTATAGGTTTGTTTTGTATCAGTTGTGTTTATTTTGTTTTCGTTGCCAGGGAGTTTTCACTGCTTTGTATTTTGGCTCCAGGTCATTTCTCAAATAGGATAATAATTTGGGAATTGTTTTTTTTTTTTGTGGTAATGTAAAATATTTTGTTTCTGTATGCAAAGTCAAATGTAAGCATCCAACATTGAGGGGTGACCTCTATTTCTTCTTGGTTGACTGTGTGCACTCCTGCAATTATTAACACCCACTTGTTACTGTCAGGTTCAGAGTGGGAACATACGGTACCGATGATTCACTCTGAGTTTGGATATTAGCCTGGGAAGCAGGTCGACTCTGTAAAAAAATAAATAAAAGAAATCACAGATGTCAGTCAAAAATTGTTTATTTTGTAAATGGGGCAGTTGAAGATGAGAAAAACATGGTGCCCTACTAAATGAAGATATAGTCAGATGTGCATGGTATTACAGTTTTCACTCCATTATCCGCACATGTAGCAAGTCTTCATTCTGACATGACTTCCAAGTGTGAGCGGAATAAATGTTTGTATATTTTCAAAATAAAAAAAATGTATCAACACAATAAACTCCTGGGTCGCTGGAAAAAAACAAAAACAGAAATAGGTTTCATGCAGACGGATTACCTTATGTAGTTAATGGAAAAAACTAAACAAGCCTTCAAGTCATCGACTAACACTTGTGTTCTGGGTAGAGTTTCAGCTGAATCCTTCTGCCAGTTTGTCCTTTTTCACTCACATTATCTGAAACTGTTTTTTCTTTTAGCTTAAATCACTATAGGCAACTATAAAACATGTTATTAATAATGGTTTTAGTGGTCTCAGCTGGCCATTACAAACAGCATGGGCTCTGAGATGTCTAAAGTTCAAAACAGCCAATAATAAATTACTTTTTTTTCTTTCCAAAAACCTAATGCACAGACTAGATTTGATGTTTGATGAGGAAAGGAGTGAAGGAAAGGGGAGTCGGTGAAGAAACAACTGATTTGATGACTGGTCAAATACACCGAATGAAGCTCCTCTGGATGTGTGGAGTCCAGAGGTACAGCTGAAGAGTAAGTAAAAAGGTCCCAAAGTAGAAACTGCAGTCTTAACATGTGCCATACTTTAAAATGTAGAGGAAAAACACCCTTATGCTCATCAATATGATGAGCAGAAAAGTCCCAAACCAAAGCTTTGAAGTCTTTATTTTTGCTATGGGGGAAGGGGGAGGAAAAGTACTCAAAAATAAAAACACAAAACAGGAGAGGAAGGGGGAAGGAAAAAAAAACAACTCCAGATATTAGGTTTGAATGCAGAGAAGATGAACTGCACAAGTTGGGTGAGACACTCCGGCACAGGGGGTTATTTCCTGGAGCTAGACTTCTAATATCCAAAAGTACTGGTCTGGTGGACCCATGTTGGTCAAGGGGTGTCCATGGAGATGCCTACAGCAAAAAGCCTTAACAGCAGCATCTTAACAGGCGGTCCAGGAGCAACGCTATGTGCTTCCTCCTGCCTGGCTCTCTCCTCCCTCTGAGTTATCTGCAGCGAGAGTATGATGACATGCTAACAAACGTGTTGTAGGCAAGAGCCCTAAATAAACTTGCATTCCGTTGACAGCTGTCAAAATTAACTATAAAGTACTATTACATGACAGTGCAAAAAAAACCCAACAATCATCTCAGACAGTGATACTCCAAAGATTATGCTGTCAAAAAAGAGAAAGAAAAGTTAATCACTGACTTGTAGCAGGAGTAGAGTTTGGAGCAGAAGCAGAAGCTCTGCCTTCCTCGTCGCTGTCGTCTTCGTTGGACTGCGGTACCTTGGCGTCAGGGATGGTCGTCACTGGTGCCTCGGGCTCCTGCTCCGCTCTGCTCTTTAGAGCCAAGATGCGGTGATGTAGTGCTGCAGCCAGCTGACCTACATCCTTTGAACTACCCTGAAGAGGAAAAAAAGATGGGAGCAGACATGTCAACACTATTAAAAAAAACCTAAAAGCATAGCTTCTCTTGGTATTTAAGAATTACATTTTAGTATGAGGTTGAAACACACATACCGATATTAGGAAGACCTTGACGCCCTGGTCCTCTGTGTCCATGGCAGTGATTCGTACACTCTTTTCACTGGCCTTGTCCACCTGCATCTGTGGCCAAAGTTTAGTGTTGAGGATCAATCTAAGGCTGCCCTGGGTCCTCATCACTGCACACAAACAACCAGAAACAAACAAAAAAACATTTACTACCAAACTAATGCAGCCACAAGCTCTTTTCGGTACCACTGATGGCTTTACACCAGATCTGCATTTATCAGAAATGATATTACTCCAGAGATTCGCTGAAAATGTCAAGCATCTGTTCTGCCTTGCAAGGACTCCCCCTTGTGTTCAATGTCTAATATTGCACTAATGATCCCAACAATTCTTTTTAATTGACTACAAAATTTAAATATAGCATTTATGCAACCCATCCTGTTAATTCACATTTGACTCAAAAGTGTGAAACCAGTAAAACAAAAAGGTTTTATGACTTTTTTTTCCAAAGCTGTCACCTAGACGAGACTGTAGTGTGCCGTCGTCTGTCGATGCCATGTCATTGAGCCTCAGTAAACCACGACCTCTCTCTATCCACGACTGAGCAGTTTTCTCAAAAACATACAACTTGCACTGCATCTATAGGAAATGTATAGAAGAGCAAATGTTATTACAGTGTCTACTGACTTTATTCAAATGGCTGTAGAATCAGTATATTATGGGATGCTTTATTACCTGTAAAACATTACTTTCTGATTCCTCTCCAGTTTTGACATCAACTTTCTCTAAGATGCACTTCTTGGCTGTGGCTTTGGTGTATGCTGCTGCAGATTCTTCCAAAGACTCTGAGACACTGTTTACTGTTTTGAGATGAAAAAAAAAATACACCAGTTATAAAAAAACCCACCATCTTGGTTCTGTTTTGATGCAGTCAATGCACCCATTGGTTGTAGAAGATACATTTGTTAAGCAAGGAAAAGATTAAGTGGAAGCATTTAGTTAGAGACCATATCTCTACCTTTTTCTGGGGTGTTTTCATGTGACGAAGACTCTGAAACAGGAGGCGCTGAACTTTCTTTATTTTCCTCGTTTAAGGACTCACCCTTGGGTGGACTCTAAAAAAAAAACAACAAAAAAACCCAGGAGATTTCAGTGAGACACGTACAAGACCTCAGCGTCGGGACTGTCTTAGTGATGAGCTGTAAAACCTACCAGAACTCTTTCTGACATGTTCTGTCCAAAAACAAATTTTGCCCCACTGTCTGCATTATTTGTAGCATTTTTTGAACTGAAAGGTAAAAAAAAGGAAAAAAACAAACAAACAAAAAAAACAACAGGAAGTTAGAATACCAATTTTTAGTGAAAAGGACATGACAAACACTCAAAGGGAGGACACAATTGTATTACCTGGGTGTAGAGATGTACTGTAGGAAATAGTTAGTGCTCTCTAACTGGGAGCCCGGGCGACCACCGTCCTTTGACTTGTTTTCTGTACTGTTCTCTTCCAACTAGGAGTTCATTTAGGAGGCAGAGAAATAATAAATAACAGTATATAACAATATATAATAAAAATATAAAAAGCAAACAAGATTCTTTACCTTTGCTCTGTCTTTGATATTCTGACCAAACACAAAAGATATTGCAACATCTGAATCCTTGTCTTTCCCACTGTCACCTTTGTTATCACTTATTTCATCTTCTGCATTTTCATGTTTCTGAGACAAGTGGACAACAGGTCAAACTCGCCACCATGTATCAATCACTCTTTCATGTTAAATTAATAAATGTTAAATTCATGAAAACTTCAAAGTTTCCCTCATTTTTAAGGGGGAGAGGAAAGGCCTGTCCTACTAACATGTGTCTCAACGTGCTGCGCTGGGTGCTCTGTGTTGTTCAGGAAGAGGGACTGGGGCACAGACGCCCCATCTGAGGACTTCTTCACGCCATTAGTTCCACAAGTGGAATCTTAAAGGAAGAGAGAATTGTTAGTTCATTTTAGCCTCTCAGATTATTTTCTCAACATACAGACAACACTTCTCTGGCATCACAATTTGGATTTATCTACTTTATTTTAAATTTTAACTAATCTTAATTTGGTTAAACTGTGACTGAACTCACTGGACTCTAGATGTGATTTGGCAGGTGGTGCCTGGAGAACCGCAGGGCGGAGGACACTGCGTTGTTGCTCCTTAGGTTTTTGACTTGGTACACCTGAAAGAATTTTTACTTTCTTTTTTTTTTTTTAACTTTCAATCGTAAGTGTACAGGTGTATCGACAGAGAGTGTACCACTAGGTAAAAATGTGATGACATTACAAACTAACCTGAACTTGGAGCCTGACCGTGTATGAGTGTTGGTGGCTTTAGACGAAAACCCGACGGTTTCTCTTCTGGTGAGGGTGAGCACATAAGAAGAGGAATGTGACAAGAACAATCATTTATTTATTGATAATTCATTGGATTATTAAACGGAAAACCTGCTCTTAACTGCCAACTTTAAAAATGATCCAACCAGTTACAACAGGTTACAATAGTCTGGCACAAAAATGTTAACATTTTCTGCAAAAAAGTAGCAAAACGCAGCTACTGTTAAAAATCCAACAATTCAATCTGACCATTGGTGTAAAAGCTACATTAACAATGTGGAAAATTGAATTTATTCATCATAATTGTTAGAACTTCTTTTTAATTTGATCTTCAGTTTTAGTGATATAGTGCCAGTGCAATGCCAGAGCTATTTTAAAGACCTTTTGATTAATACAGAGAGATTGGAAGAAGAATAAATCAAAAATGTCTGAAGTATTTCCTGTGGTTTGTGTTGAGCTCTCACCTACACACTGCACCCCATTACCCACAGAGGTGTTGCCTGTATAGCTGTAACCTATATAACACTGCCTTCCAGTTCATTGCATATTTATTGAAACCCAAACCCTAGTAGTATCAGTACCAACACTGTAGTATCAGTGACAGTACTAGGTATCGGCGAGTACAAAAAATTAAATACTCATACTTGTATTGGTTTGTAAAATGAGGGCAAGCCTGAACCAGATCTTACATTTCTTATTGTCAAACCTAATTTTGCTAAATCTATCACAAATTAAAATATAACAATGTTAATACTTGGTTCTTCTTCAATCTCTTATCATTATTATTATTGTTACTTTGCAATGTCATAATTCAAGTGACTTAAAGCTCAGTAGAACTGCCACGAAACAAACAGTGTTAGGATCACTGTTGTAACCCGTCATACCTTGTCAACCCATTTACAACATTTCTACAAAACAATTTACATCTTAGCCATCCATCCATCCATCCACCCATCAACTGCTTAAGCCTCTTCATGGTCACATTTTGCAAATCTATTCATTCAACAGTGCTACACAAAACCAAAGCCAGCAGTCATGACAGGACAATTGTAGAATAATAACTGCATCATAAATTAGTAAGGAAACACTAACTTGATTTTCCAGGTGGGTTCAAAAAGAAAAATATATTTTGTACTTTCAAAGTCAGAGATCACACACACTGTAATCCCATTTTTAAATGCATCAAAGACAGAAATAAATTCAGTTTTATTTCTCATTTCTGCTTGCACTATTTTGCAAGACATTTTACAAATCACTACAATCACTCTGAGAGAATAATGGCACAGCCACAGGGGATGGCCAAAAATCCTGTACAATAACCGTACCTCAACCAAGAATGAAGACAAACATCACTACGATGCCAGAGATGTCAGAGACACCTTGCTTGTCAGTCTTCACAAAATTCATTTCATTTAAAAAAACATTTTACGATAAAAACTAAAACTTATTGGAAAATGAATGCTAACCTTAAATAAACCTGAGGCATTTACAATGTCATCAAATAATTAAAAAAAAAACGTCCAGATGTCTTACCTGGCTCAGAGTCAGAGTTCCCAGTTGGAGACTGGCAAAAACTCGAGGGCATGAAAACATTGTTCTTGGTAACTGTAAAGAGGCCGACAACCATTTCATGGCACTTAGCATTCAAATTGTGTGCACCACAGTAGTCAAGACAAAAGATATAAAATGCTCATTTGGTCACTAGTGTCCTTACCAGAGTGTGGGGGAGGGAACGATGAAGTCCTTTCCCTTTTCACTGGGGGACAGTAGCTTGTTTCATCTTTATCTGAATCTATAGGTGGTAAAACATACAAGTACTTAACTTGTTTTAATGCATCTGTTTAAAGAATTAACAAATAGACATTAAACATACCTTCTCCATCCTCTGCACTCGAGCCATCTGCAGATCGCTGAAAAAACAAAAAACACAAAGTCTTAATTCTTCTTTGATGATTATTAATTGAAACAATGGTAAGAATCTTCTAAAAAGCTTTAAAGCTTAAATGTCAAACGGGTAGAGAAAACGTGTTATAATTTAAGTTGGTAATGCTTAAATTCAAGACACACCTAGTATCTAATATAGAGCTGCTATATTTACTGAGATTACAACACACCACAGCAGTCCTTTAATAAATGTTTGGGAGAATTCTAACAATCTTCAGTGGTTAAGTGATCAGATCAGAAGTAGTTTCTAAGAGGTCCTGATATGTACTGTACAACCGCTACTCTTTTATTTACACACACACACACACATATATATATACACACACAGAATATATCCAGAATACAGACTTGTCATCTGTGTTTTTGACGCAAGGGTCATCCTTTCAATGTTTAGTGTTAGACAAAACTAGGCATCAACTTGACCTTGGAATACAGGTAAACCTACCTTTTGTGTTTTATCTTTTTGGAAAACAAACACAGGAGGCGCTATGGCAGGCTTGTCTGTAAATAGAAAACAACATATAAAAACTGTGATTCAAGCAACTAAGGTTATAAGCTATCTGTAGTGTTGGCTGTAATAAGAGATGTTCCAACTGTGATCTCAAATGGCAGTCACCAACTATTTAGAATACAGGTGAAAATATATAAAATAATACTGTATTTAAGGAAGTGTTTTGCTTTTTTAGAAGGAATGTCCCATTTGCCCAAATGGATCCCTGCTACACCCTATAATCTGGATGGATACCTTTCAAGACTTTTGGATTGACTAACACTTCTGTCAGTATTGTTGTTGGTGAAACACAGCATCAATTCAACATATCCAGAGATATAATTATTGCTATAGAGCAGGGGGTTTTCAATGTTATTCAGGCCAAAGCCCACAACAAAAATGAATTAGATTTTATGCTGTCACTTATCTGTACTTTAAAATGTATTAAAGATATTGGCAGCACAACAACAAATGCAAGAAAAGCTAACAATGTCTATAACAGTTAAACTAACAGCCATTAAAAACAAAATCTTTGTCATACAAAGCAAACACATAATAAATGCTAGAATTGAAATTGTACAGTTGACTCAAAAGGCATTAATGTATTAAAAACAAAGTGGCATAATATTTAAATAAGCATTCATTGTAAACCCTCCCTTGGTGCCAAACTACATTATTGTTGTTTTACTGCTCATCAATCATATTAAACAAGAACAAGGAAAAAGACGGCTGGTTGAATTTATCTCTTTAGTTTCCTGCCACTCTGTATAACCTGTGAAAATGCATAATCCCATAACGGAAGCAGACAATAGGTTTGCCGTCTGTCGTGGACATCTTACAGAAAGATTAATTATATCCATAGTTGTGAGCATTACAGCATGTTTTAACAATCACACAGCCTGGAGTGTTTACCTGACCAACATTCGGCGTCACGTTCACTGTCTGCCATGGCTACTGCGTACTGTTTGTGGTTGCTTCACGGTTAAATGCAGAAAATATTACAATATGGCGTGACCTATATTTTACGACAACTTCGTAGACTTCCGCTGCCCGTATAACAGCAAGTGAGAGAATGCAATCGCAGAATGCAACACTGACATCTCCTTCAGACAACCAATAGCTCTATGTGCTACCGGCTTGTGATAACCAGCTACGGTTTACTGTCCTGCTTCAGTAAATAGTCGGCGCCACCGGTGATTCGTAAAGCAGAACTAGCCTAGCTTACTGACTACAGTTAGCCGACAAATACACTCCATCCCGCGTGAGTCATCTCGCCCTACAAACAAGGACACAGATCATCCTTGAATGTCCAAACTAATCCCTGTCTTCGTCTTTCGACAAGCACATTGCAGCGAAATAAAAAGCCCTACTGGAAGCAGCGTATACGTTGAAACATCGCGCCGCGTTGGACCTGTCTCTACGCGCCTAAATGAACGTCAAACGATCCAACAACTAAGCGGCTGCACACACGAACCGTTACCATGATAATGCAAAGCGCGTGTAATATATGTGAACACGGCATCTATTATGAACAATGCCTTTTATCTTGGGTCGATTTGGACTTCCATTTAAACCCACAATAGATTACGTAGCTCGCTGCAAATGGTAGCACACACTGCCTATAAATAGCCGGGTGCTAACGTTTGGTGTAAAGCCAGCTAGCGAGAGGCAACGTTCGAGGGCGTTAAGAGTCACTCCAGGTTTTATACGCAGCCCGGCCGTTAGCGTTGTTAGCTGCTGCGCTTTACGCCGCAGAAATGCAAACGCCGCAAAGCACAATAGTCGCCGGAAATCGTCGCTAACATGCAGCCGAATGATCCAGTGTTAGTTATCGCATATTTACACAACGTAAAGGCTTAGTCCACAAGTCCACATCAGTTATATTGTTCGTCTTATACTGCCACTTTCTCACCTTCGTTTGCCAAGTCCGCCATTTTACTTCGACGCTCACACCCACAACCCACCGCGCAGATAACAAGTGGTAGAACGAATGTTTTTAGCTCAGTGCCACTGTTTACTAACTAATTCCAGTAGCTTAAAACCGCTTATGGTCACATAAAACAACATCCAGAACATTGTGATTTGCCCTTCCATATCACAAAGTTGAACCTTTATAACCAAACACTTTTAAATTAAGATATTCGTGGTTAGAAGTGTCTAAACCCAAACTATAAGGAACAGACAGGCCTTTCAATAAACATGGCAACCTGGCTGTGATTTCAAATAAAAGATTTAAAAAAAAAAGCTGTATAGTTACATAAAGATTACAGCTGTGTGAGAAACAAACAATCAAATTCAGAATTCCTAAAGTACTTTTACAGACTGTTTAAGAATGTCATTCAAAATAATATGTTTGGTTGAATATTTTACAGAGTTGTCGTCATTATTATAATTAAGAATATACAGCATTATGGTATTTCATTAAAAGACAAACTGAAGTAGTCTACTCATCTTATTTTACTAAATACATTACATCATGCATTAATCTGCAGAGACACTGCCTTGTGCTTGTACTTTTTCAAGTAAACAGATATTCTCGAGAAATAATATGTAAAACAAAGAAGAAGAAGAACAATGGTTCTTTTCAAGCTAGTTACCTGGTCAATAATTCATACAATGTATACATTTGAAAGACAGTCTAATTTGAAACATTCCCCCACCTCAATGTAATTTTTTGTTTATTTAATTTTACAATTCTGCAGCAGCTTGCACCATGTGTGACTGTACAGGTGGTGTCAGTAATGAGGAGGTAATATGAAGTAGTTAAACAAACACATTCTAGTTCACATTTCATGCTCTCAGACTGTTCCCTTCCTGTAATCATGATGTTTACGTTCATACACATGATGGCTCGGTTCTACGTCATAGACAAGGGGGCTCATCGGCTCAAAGCTGCAGTGACCCTCATAGTTGACCTCATCTTAACCCTGAGATGTAAGATGACAGTAATAAAAACGGACATGATTAATGAAAGGAAATACAATTCTAACAGAATGGAACTCTGGTGCTGTAATTATCTCGAGTTATTGGTCATCAAATATACTAAACCTTGCTCTGAAACCTTTTGTCTGTGTACACACACAGACGACAAGAATTCCTTGCACTACATTCATTTTAAATGCAGATCTTTAAATTGCCACTAGAGGGCAATCTAGCATTTCTAGGCACAGCTAAGCCGTGATGTAACACTGCTGTTCAAACAGAATAATAAGGTAAATAAGAAGCTATAACAGAAACTCATCTTTTTCATAGTGCATTTTCTTAGAACAAAAGTATGATGCTTTTTAGTGTAAAGCTTCAAGTGATGGGTCTACTTATCCACACAGGGCAATCAGAAGGGTAAACAACAAGGAATGGAATGGGAATAAAAGTCAAGCAGAATAAAATAAAAACAATAAAAACAAAAACAGAATGTCTGTCCTTTGTATTCATTCATAACTGAGAAACACTGAGCAGAAAACACGTAGTGAGGTCTAATGTTGCTCAACTTTCACCAAACGTTTGACGAACAAACAATGCCTCGTATGGTTGCCTTCAGGCATAGCTCTAACAAGCCACTGCAAGTGCTGCTTGCGATAGAAGGCCCACATCTGTCAGAAGAGCTTGGCTTGTTCTCCGAGCCAATAACAGTTTCGTTTCATTTCTGTTACCCATCATTTCAGACAAGGTATAAAGTCCATTTCATATTAACAACTTACTTTCAATGGGAGCCGGACAAACAATTGAATCCTCTGTGCTCCAGCTAGACGCTGTCTGCTTCACCAAGCCTTGCTCACATTGCTAAGATCTAACTTTAGAATAACAATCCAGACATTCTGTGGTCAATATATGGAGTTTAGTTCAGAATATTTTTGACAGATAGAAGAGATTAGAGTAGAAAACATGTTGTGTAACACATTTTCCAAAGATTTACATTTAATAAATGATTATAAATGATTATATGTCTTTCATACATTCCATTTGTTGTGGTATTGCTGTGTATCACTGACACTATCTTCATAAAGAGTATCATCTTAAACAACACCTCTTCCTTCGAGTGCAAATTCAGTGATAATCGAGTTAAAATAAATTGTAGCCCTGCGCTGGAAAAAGTAACTCAATTGTGCAAGAAAAGAGCGACTGAGCCACTTACCGGTGATACTTCTACACTGGTCTGTGTGTTATAGCAGGACGATTGCACAAGATGAAGACCAAATAATTCTGCTAAAGCCGTTACTATTAGCGAGCATCTTTATTTGACAAGGATGAGGCTCTTACTATTGTTTCTCAAAATCCAGGTCATGTGTCAGCAGAAATGATATGGAAAAGAAGGTCAAAGCCAAACAACATTTTTCCATTTTTTTTTCATCTCCATGAAACCTGCAGTAACAGTAAAAAGTGACAAACGTCTATTGTCACAATGACTAATAAAGATAAGTTTAACAATGCATTTAAATGCATCCAAAACAAAGGCAATAACAAAGAGATTGAAAAAATTACAGTGTCTGAGAAAAAAAGCTGAAGGCACCAGATTGGATGGAAACATAGCTCTGGTCCAAGCACCTCAGGCAGTGGACCATCATCTTCTGATAAGTACTCAGTGGCATTAATCCATCAGTATTTTGATAACAATGCCAAAGCTGAAATCTTCCCCTTTTTGTGCAGTAGCAACGTGCTTTGCCAAAAAACACTCAATTCTCTTTCATGCTTTACCAAGATCCAACCTACAGGGCACAAACGACCGCGGCACTTCCACAATTGCACCTTCAGTCGTCAAGCAAATGTGTAGGAATGTCTTCAAAGTTTGGGTGGTAAGTTGGAATCAAATGTTGAATTTTAGATTCCTGTTGTACCACATGATGCTCCCATGTAGGGATTACTCTACGTTAGCACAAATCTCCTGCAGGTAAAGACAGAGTGTTGAACAAGTCCACGTCGGCCTCACTTGGCTCCATCAGGGTGAGTCCTGATGTAGTGTAAACACTGAGCCTCCATGCTATCAGATGACCACTCAGGCACTCTTAGCTCATTCATATCTGTCACATAGTGTTCCATAAAACACAGGAAAAGGCACGCTCGACTATTAGAGAACCAAAAGGAAAACTTGGTTGGACACAGTATTATGGCAGTGCTGACAAGTGTGTCCTGAACTGTCAGGAGCCAGAGGGGAAGATGACTTACATCTGATTTAGACTGCACTTCTTTCTCATATCGAAGGAGTGCTCAATCATAAAATAACAGAGAAACAGTTTTTAAATTGTTGCTTTGCATGCAACACTGCAGGGACAACTCCAATGAATATCATTCAAGCGCACGCCGTGATCTGAAAGCATCTTGTTTAACACAGCAACGATGAAAACGGCTTCAGGAAACATCAGACAGAAAAAGTAACGTGTCATCATGTCATTAATCAACATCATATCAGCAGTGATGATCATGGACCGACTGCTAGCTGCCTGACAACTTAAACTTCAATACAGTAGGTGAATGAGCTGCAGCCATCTGAATGGCTGACAAACAATAAGAAATGAATGTTGCACAGCAGTTTATTGTCAACTTTAGCATCAGCTTGACAATGACTATGATGATGATTTTTTAGAACGAAGCTTGAAGGACAACCCCCCCCCCCCCAAAAAAAAAAAACCCATGGATGTCAATGGATGAGGAGACACAACAAAATATGATAGCAAAAGAGGTGCAAAGGTCTTTTATGGAAATATGATCCTGGGCTCAGCGTTGCGGAGTGCTCTATAAGAGAGCCTCGCCTCCTCAGGTGATAGACAAAAAGAAGGAGAAGAAAGTTGCAGCAACACCTGGAGCATTTGAGGACAGATAAAGGTGAGTGAACCCTGCAGAGACAAGTGGACAACTCCAGGAGTGTTCATCACAGGTGGCTGAATTAGCCTAAACTCTCAATGTGTATTTTTAACTAATTGATTTACGATTAACGATTTACTAATGAACTAATGTAATAACATTAGTTGATTTTTCTTTTTGATATAGACTCGGGGTTTGTACTGTGCTACATTCAGATGGAGAAACACTGCGTTTAGTGTTTGCCAAGGGGTTAAAGGTTCCAGGTTTTATAAAAGGCGTGGTTGGAGTGGAGCGATAAGACCAACAGTAGGTCAACATTGGTATCCTTTGTATTCATCTGCTTGTTTCTCAGAACTGCGAGTAGAGGCTTCACCATGAGGTTCAACGCGCTCTTCCTACTGCTGAGCCTGTCCTGCCTGTGTCTCGCACTGGCCCAAGGTAAGGTGTGCTGCATCTTTAGGTCACTAATGTCTGACTGTAATCTGAGAGCAGTAAAGAAACGATGTGGTCCAACCTTTAGCTGAGTGGGATTTTCTATTTTTTATCTGCTCTTTTTTCTTGGTCTTGTTGTCAAACTTCATGTATGACGTGGGGGCATCAGTGGATCCCATTTGACTCTGTTTCTGACTCCCCTCAGTGTCCTACGACAACTGCTGTCTGACATATGTGAAGAAAATGAACCACAACATTCAGAAACATGCTGTGAAGTACAGAGAGCAGGTGCTGGACGGAGGCTGTAACATTCCTGCCATAATGTGAGCACCGGAGGACATCTACCTCTGCCGACAAACGCGTCACACTTTTGGAATTCGTGTTATTCCCTCAACTTGCTGTTTTTGTATTATTTCCTCCTCAGCTTCACCCTGAGGAGGGGTCGTGTGTTCTGCACAGACCCCAGAGACAACTGGGTCCAGCGGCTCATGGTGAAAATAGACAGGAAATACAGAACCTCCAAATACACTGACAAACCCAACAAGAAGGTGAGTGACGGTGACGGAAACACTGGTCGTCATTTGGAAAAAACTTCAGGAAAGTCAGATTGAATTCATGTATTTATCTGTTAAAATGTAAGACCTGCTCATAGAATTAGAATTTAAAACTATTCCAACATCACATTGTTTTTTGTTTTTTGTTTTGTTTCTTTCACAGCACTTCTCACGAGTAAGCAAGGGCTGAGTGGGGCAGCCTGCTGCTCCTCACTGTCCTGCCCATGCCCAGAATATGATGCAATTAGATAACAAGTACTTTACGGCGGTACAAAGGCATCCTACTTATGGGCAGTGAGGAGATAAGACTGAATCTTGCAGCATAACTTTCACTTTCTCTGTGCAAACAACAAAGAGTCAGAGCAGCAGAACTTTTCTGCGTAATATTCAACAGCTGCTTCACTGGGAACGTCTGCCGTTGTTTTCTCGCCTTTAACATCATGTGTTTGATGGGATTTCAATCATTGATGTCAACGCAGTGTAAATATTCAAATAAATTTGTCAGTGGTGATAGAATGACAACAACAGATACTTCAACAGAAAGCTTTAGACTTGGATTTTTTTTTCAATGTAAAAATGTCTGTCTTTGCATATTTTTCACATATAGTTTTTTTGCTGTGCATGTACTGTATACTGGAAAAATAAAGAGCATTATAGTTCCATTCTACCATGTCATGTGTTCATTTTGATGTAAACTGATATCCTGGAGTCATTTCTACTGTTTTTCTGATGATTCTTAGAGTTTAGGAGCAGTTTAAATTTGAGATAAATGAAAAAAAAAGATTAAAATTTAACCACCTTTTCTACAATAACCACAATACACAGAAACATCAGGGAGACACAATGCAGGCGGCCTCTTTGGCACCCCCTGGTGGACACATGCTGAAAGTGATTCTCTCTATTAATAAAGCAATTTAAAAAAATCTGGAATAATTAGCCTTGGCACATTGAGTAGCCAAATTAGCCTCTGTGGCAGAGTCAGAAGTAGCCTGGCATTCACCATTGTTGTTATTGAGCAGGGGTGACTGGGGTAAGAGGTTACACAGAGGCAGGGATGGCTGGGTGGAACAGGTACAGAGAGGCGGAGCTGACCACACAGAGACATTTTCTCTCATTCTTTTCTTTTCATTATAGTTTGTCAGTAATAAGAACTCATTATCTAATTCCACAGCATGTACGTCTCAGTAGTAAATATTCCCGGCGAGCGAAACACCTGCAGAAAGATTCAGGGACAAATCTTTGAAGTGTCAACTAAAGGATGAATGATGTGCGCTGATTTAAAGTCAGCTTCTGTGTGTTTCTATTCTCTCTGCTCCAAGTGCATTCAGGAGAACTGCAGAGGCGTGTAGCTGATCAAATCTCCTGCAGTAAAGCTCTCTTTGTGTATACCGACATGCTTGAGACTTGTCTACACCTTATATTCAACAGTATGACAAACCAAAAGGCCAGTGTATTTAAACACATGTAGATAAAGATCTTTTTAAAAAGCCAATCTTTCAAGCTGATTGTTACGGATCGTACATTTCTACAACAAAAATAAACTTCACGCGTGAAGTATTTTTGAATCGACTGCCAATTTTGCCCAAAGACAGAGATGATGAATCACCCAATTATCACCCAGACATTTTTATCACTGATGGACAGCTGACATTCCTTTGAGTTTGTGTATTCTTGTATGACCCAGTGGGGTCAAAGATCTGCTAGTGGACCACAGACACATTAGTGCGGAGGCTTGGTTTCCTCTTGCTCAAATCAAAACAGTTCTGATGAATGCACCGTGCTGTTCTGCTTAAATGACCAGCAAAGAAATGGCTGTTGAGGCCACGGGAATGCTTTCTTTTATACAGAGGAAAAAAACAAACCTTCAGACTGAAACAAAACTGATGAAGAACAGGACTGGGATGTTTGAACACGCCATGGACCAGGAGCAGAGAAGAGAAGGTTACGACATGTCAGAGCGAGAAACAAACGCATCAGGTGTCACAGCACATTGTTTTGTCTTATTCTCACACCACAGCTCAATGGAACATCAAAAAAATAAAATAATATATGAAATTAACGACTACATAAATCTGCCAGAAGAGTCGGCACCAAAGGCTGATAGGACGTCTTCACTCCAGGGACGTTTAAGGGCAATAAAAAGGTGAACGCGTCCATAAAACACTGCACATCAAAAAGGTGACATAAATGTCCATTATAACTGCACCCTTTGTTTCTCTTTGAGTCACATCCTAGCAACTGAATTTATGACATCATGCGGAGAACATAAAAGTCAAATATAATTTTTTGTGTAAAAGATTAACTGCTAAGACAGTCACTTTGAAGACAGTTCAGCTGCTGTAGTGATATTTTCTTGTCAGCCCAAACCCTGAAACCATCATTATGGTCATAATTCAATAATTCATTCATTAATTCAAAATCTAGATAAAATCGGTATGAAAAATGCACAGACTGAAAGGCCAAAGTTGGTGTTTATACAGAAAGACATCCTCAGCTGTTGCTAAAAATAAATATTTTCTCTAAATCGAGGACAACACCAACCCTGCACTACTGCAAATGAGGACAACACCAACCCTGCACTACTGCCATCATTTGAACAGTCCAAATGTGTCTGTGTCTGTTTGTGACACAATTGTGATTTATATAAACTGGAAATATGATTATAATAAAATAATTGTAGGAAGGAAAGTATTGATTATTGCTACATTCACAACGTTTTCCAGCATCCGTGCTCATGGAAACTAAGGACAAGTCATTATGGAACCAGTGCTTCGTTTCATCACAGACATCATGTATACAATTCACCACACAACCTGACACCTGGCACTGTGTAGTGCGGCTGTAGTTACAACCTTACTGAGGAACTTGACTCATTTGTCCCAAGGCAAAATGTGGTTTTGATTTCCACAAACTCACTGAATGATGGATGCGGGGCGGCTGTCATCTTAGTTGAATTTCCTTTCATGCTCGGATGAAAAATAATAAATGTTGGACGTTATCTTAGAGCAGATCGGAGTGGTCTGCACTTCCATTTACCGTGACCTCCATCAGCAGCATTCACGCTGTGCGATAGCGAAACTAGCTTCAGTTTTAGTCACACGGATAGGAAGATTATAAAAGGTTGGGTTATAAACCTTATCATTATTTTTTTTTTTCTCTTATCGAATAATATTTATCAAATGCAATGGCTCCCTTTAATCAGCAGAGGGGCCTGACGTGCAGACTTTTGGCCGGAACTTGTTGGAGGAGCTAAAACCAAACAACCGACCGCAATAAAAATCCTATCATAAAATGTGTCACTCCGCTGCTCCACCCTTATGGAATATTAATAAAATAAATAATATTTGATGGTAAAAATAAATAAAAACGAATTTAAGTTTTATTTATTATTTAAGTTTATATCTCAACCGTTCACTGTTTAACATCCGCGTAACTAAAGCTAAAGCAGCGTGAATGCTTCGTTTATATCTATCAAGACGATTGCCAAACACTTGCAGAGAGGGAGTGCTATCTAATGGCCGCTAGACGGCGACAGTCTGCAGAAAATAAAATTGAAAAATAAAAAATAAAATAAAAAGCTTATTTTGTCGAAATGGAGGAAGAATATAATTAATAATAATAATAATAATAATAATAATAATAATAATAATAATAATAATAATAATAATAATAATAATACATTTTAATATGAGCTTTTGGTGTCACATTTCTACATTTGTGTCTCTTTCTCCTCTTTTGCATAATGCACGAAAACATATTTAAATTATTTAGATAAGATTATTTCAACTTGACATTTCGATGTAAATATTTTGGGTTTGCTACAAACAGTTAGACTGACTAAGACTGCTATATTAATCACACACAATATTTTAAAATACAGTCTATAAAATTTATGTGAAGAACAATGATGTGAGATGTTAAAATGTTAGGTCAAATCCTACTGTTGATAACAGGTCAATGAATGGAAAAAGTGACATTTAGTCTTATTGTTATCCCTTTAAGGCATGTCAATTGTAATGACTGCTTAGTCTTAAGCATTCATCCAACATATCATACAATCTAAATAATTAAATCAAGCAATAACAACGTGCGAATCTGGGTTTTCACCAAGAGTAGCGTAGAGTTTCAGTAAGATTTATCGTGAACTAATGAAAGGAATTAACAAGTGAAACTGCTGTGAGCCTCACCTTAATCAAGGTGTCTGAGTGCTGACGGCCCTCACCAACGATGATCCGTTGATCCCGGGGAAAATGAGGGGATCACATCAGCATTTCAAAGCTGAGCTAACACCTTATTAAAGCCTGAAAGCTAGATCCACGGAAGTCCAAGATTGGGAAGCTTTTATCCTCCTGATTATTTCAACAATCTGTCAGAAAAAGCAGATACATTTACAGTAAACTATGGGTCATTAATATATATTTTTTCACATGTTATTCTTTTAGAAACTTTCTACTTTCTCTTCTCAGAGAGGGTGAGATTTGAAGGGCAGCTCTCAGAGGTCTGACCATTTGGTGTCATGTTGAATAAACACTGAGGTGCTGGAGTTTGTTGAAGGGGAAACTCTAGGCCCCACGCTGATCCTGTTTATGTGTTTGGGCCTGGTTTTGTTTTAAGTCAGAGGTGCTAAACACCTTCCCCTGAGATAAAAGATGATTAATGCCTTTGAGTGAGTGACACTTTAATGGCAGGAGGCTACTTAAGCACTTCATTAGGGTGGCTTCAGGCCCGGTTGACGCAGTCCAGCCTCTGGATCCTCTCGCAGCAGAAACACAGGGGTTGAAGACGGTCTCTTTGAAGTGACCGCTTGCTTGTAAGGTCCCCAGGTATTCAGCATGGAAATTTGATTAGCCTCCAAATCACACACATCCCACGCCACTCCACTCCACTCAGACCTTGTTCTTGGCTGACAGATGGGGCTGAAGCGTGAGGCCTTATAAATATCTGAGACGTCGCTCAGCTGTGGTGCATTCAGGGTCTGGAAGCTGAGGAGAACATTTGGATTAAAACCATGGATTTACCACACTTCCTTCTTCTCCTCTGTGCCCTTCACCTGAGCTGTAAGTACTGTTTGCTCTGCTCCGCTGCTGTGTTTTTCTGGAGGTGTCCAGAGATAATCCCATGGTTTGTGCATTTGCAGCCATTTCTGTGTGTTACCTTGTGTCTAGGAGTAAAGTTCAGTACAGTTTTAAACTGTTTGGTTAACTTATTTAGCCACTTTACAGATTTCTTTTGTTTCTTGGCCCATGTTGCTCTGTTGTAGTTTCGTTCCATGATTAAGATTTTTTCTCTAATGTTTCACAGTAAAAGACAAAAAAAATCTTCTATCTTCTAACAATTAATAACTTTAGAGGTGCAATGCTTAAATATGTTTACATATTAAAATATTTCCTACAATTACTAACATCGTATCATTACTAGATTTGTATTAATATTAAAAATTAAACAAAAAAACTAAGATTTGTGTGTTAGGTTTTTCTTTTTTATAAAATTATTATAAAATTGTGTGTTAGGTTTTTCTTTTTTATAAATTGTGTCATAATTTTGATTTATGTTCTTTTTCCTACAGCAACTGAAGTTTTGGGGAAACACGTTGACCACAGAAACCTGTTCGAACAGAGAATGTGCTGTAAAAGACAGAGCCACTTTGTTTACATAGGACAAGGTAAAATGATCTGTCTCTCTCTCTCTCTGTGTGTGTCTGTCCATCTGTCTGTATTGATATATATATTTTTTATAATCTTTCTTCCCCCCTCCTCCCACAGACATCTCCGGGGGTCACGTCAGTGTGGATGTTGGGATGTGCAGGTCTCACTGTGGGGGACCAGGATCCAGGACGTCCCACGAGACACAACAGCAGGAAGATTCTAAATACTCCTCCATGCTGGAATTTCTTCGGAGCAAACAAGTACGTGAAATTGCGCATCAATGCCACAAGAGGGCGCCAGTTGCTAGCACTTATCTGATCACCTGACCTTGATAGAGCGAGTCAAATTGTTGTGGCACTCTAGCAGTGTTGCTGAACTGCAAAAACATGATTATGTCATTTTCACAACCATGAAACTCTATTTATATTTTGTTTAAAATTGTGTTATCATTCAGTTAACTGTCAGAGTTAACTGTCACTTTCTGCCATGTCTGACACATACAATAACATTAGTTTTTCTTCACCTTATAAAGCTGAGGCCCCGGGGCCCCGCAGTTCCAGAGAGCACAGACCCACTGAAGCAGCTGCCCTCCTGTGGGGTGGACCAGGTGTGTGAGCCCACTGGGATGAGGGTGGACCGGGTTCTCCTCCAGGAGGGACACAGGGAGGTGGAGGTCATCGAAGAGTGCCACTGTGAGGTCAAACTGAGCCAGTGCACCCGTGTCCCCGCACTGAGGACGTACTACGCTGAGACCCCATATGAGACGGTGATCGACGTGGGAGGATGTTCCCAGTCCAAGGGTTCTCCAGGTGTGTGTGTAGAGTGTATTCTTCCCAAACAACATTCATACCACATAGGCCTGTGGGGAGGAGAAGTGGGACCAATGTTAGTGGTCTATATGGTCTATGTGGGCTTCATACTCTTAGGTAACTTCTCTGTTGATTAGAAGCCTCAAACAGTAAAGATATTAAATTTAAAAAAATCATAATTATGTTTTATCAAAATACACCAATAATTTACAATATTCCTAGTAGTAGTACATTTTAGTGACCACTTACATTAAAAATCCAGATAATACCATTGTATATTTCATGTAGTTTTTTCTACCCCTTTTTTAAAGCAAAGCTGCATGTCATAAACTTTACAGACAAAAGTCTTGTTAGTTAATATGGTAAAGTATTACCCTACTGTTACCAAATCTGTTACTTATCTCTATTGATTTAGTTAGTAGTTCTAATTATTAACTGTGCTTCTTTAGTAATAGTAAAATACTTAACATAAAAAATACAATGAAAAAGTTTACACTAAAAAATATCAAATTAAATACAATTTCCCTTTTACTTCAGTACGGTGATTGTACTGCAGTAAACATCCAGTAGTACCTGAGTATTACTTCTTTGTTGTTATTGTGGTACAACATTGAACTGAATGAATGTTTCCTCCTTCTGGAGGTGATTACAGAGTGAACAGCTGACGTTCTGACTGTCGGTCTAATGTCCCTTCTTCCGTCCACAGACGGATTCTCCTGTGTCCCCACTAAGTTTGACTCGGCTCTGGTGGAAACCCCAAACAAAGTGGACCTCATCCAGACTGTGGCGGCCTGTGAGCTGAAGGAAAGCTGCTACAGAGTCCCAGTGGTGGAGTATTACTACGAAACAGTGTACCACCAGGACGGGGTCAAAGAAGAGAGGCTAAAAGTAGGTGTCACGTTATTAAACCATAAATGTGATCAGACTCTCACATTCACTTTCATATTTGAACCCACCTTGAGAGGAAGCATAGGGGGTGGAGGGAGGGAGGGGGGGGAGCTGCTGCTGTGGTGCCAGACTGTAATGAAGTATCAGTATTCATCGGACATCAGTGTGGAAGACAGTACTTAATTAGGCAAATCCTGGGGCCACTGACTGGCACCGCACATCCTGTTGGTGGGGACGTGTCAAATGCATATTCATGTAAGAGCTGCGACAATACACACGGCCGACCTGCAGACCGTCGTTTGAATATCAACAGAACAGGGATTTCTGCCGGGCTCATCTCTCCAGAGAACTATAAGAGAAGAAATGAGGTTACACAGGTTCAAATGAGCACATTACACACATTAGATACATAAAAAATGAAATTAAAATGGCTAAAATAAAACAAATATTGTTTTTAACTCTTAAAATCTGAATTTCCAACACAATGATTGGGTTTTTTTTAAACAACACTGGACACTGACAATAAAGGCAGCAAAGTAAATGAATTTACTTGATTTTTGTTTGAAGCAGTTTTATTGATGGTGAGAACTGAAGCTTTTCCTACATTTGTCCTCCTCCTGCTGCTGCATCACTGCTGCTCTGTCTGCTGTGCTTTAGCACCAGAAGTGTGAACAGGGAGCAAACACAAATGGCACCTGCAGGTGTGGAATCAAAGCAGTTAACATGTTAAACAGCAGCTGGCCACCGGCTCATCTGGGTCAATATTTGTGACCAGCTGAGAACTCATTGCTTTCTCTCTGTGTTGCTAATTTTCCACAGGAAATAGATGTGGGCAGATGTTTGGGAGGCTGCACTACAGGAAACCGTTGTCTTCTCAGGTTAGTACCGATGCAACTGCTACAAACACACACACACTAATGCACTCAGGAAACCACACCTCCTCCACCATGCTAACATTTCAACATGTGCTCCAACACCTTGTGAGTCTGTGCATTTTAAATTAATTTAAAGGAGTATTTATACAAACCAGAGTCCTTAAAAAACCCAGCTTCACTCAAATGAATTGACTGCTGACTTAATAATCACATTTTTTAGTTTCAGAGACCTGTGCTGAACTTTGTAGAACACAAACACGAAAGAGAGCATTCTGTTTCAGAAGCAATATTTTGATGGAAAAATACTTAACAATTCCATTATGATCTTAAACTGACTTTAAACATGACTTGCATCAGATAAGAAAAGCTAAGAAAATTTGCTTTTTTGTCAAAAACTAAAAAAACTATTTTAATGGAAGACAATTATGTCTTCCACTAATTATGTTTCTGACACAAATGATATTTTCCAACCTGACACACACAAATATCTGTCAGCTAACCCTGGGCTGTAAGAGTAAACATTACTTCATGTTGTTGTATTGTACTGCAAATGAGTTACGTCATATTTTTGACAGGAATCAGACCATGATCTGAAATACATGACAGCACATTCAGAACCTTGAAGAACAAAAAATGAAGCTACATTTAATAGTTTTTCATCCGTCCATAATAGTTGTGTTTTTTTATCTTCCTCCTACAGGAGTCCGTCTGACCCTCAAACCTGCCACTTATGGTCTGAGAGACAGTTCAGCTCCTGTGTCCCTCAGGGCCATGAGAGCCACAGCTTTGTCAACCAGCATGGACTTCTACGCACAGTTCTCTCCATCACTTCCTGTCTTTGTCAAAAATGAAAACTGCGCCTCCCAGTGGTAATCTACGTCCACTGTAAGGGATGCTCTAGACTTATCTACCCTAAACTATTATTGTATTATATGTAATATATGTATAAATTTGTAAATAAAATTAATTCCCCAAAACAATATCGTCCGTGGAGTCTATTAGACATGTTCAACAAATACTTTCAGTAGAGAATATACGGTTTATAACGTGGATTAAAAACTTTTTTTAACACGTTAGAGTTTGAAACGCCCTGGAATAAACATCCTAGAACCACAGCTTTGAGGCAGATTAGAAAGGAGCAGACCAAAGGACAACCGTTTGAAATGTCTCTTTGAAACAAAAATACACGTGCAAGTTGTTAACGACTGCTCGTTCTGATATCAACGTGTGAAAACAACAGTTTTCTGTCATCCCGAGACCAGGCTTTTTATGGCTTCTCTTCAAAGTGCCATAAACTGGGGGGAAAAACTTTGATCTCGTGATTGTTTTTCCAGCAGAAGTGAACTTTGTTGGCCTCAGTTTGTCTTCGACTCATGCGTAATTACGCATAACGGATGAAAAGCCACCAAATGGCACGGTGTGCAAAAATGTGTTTTTTTCCTTTCCTTCTCTTGGATGGTAGACTATGCAAATGTAAAAAAATGGAAATATAAATTCTGTGTTGACAATATGCTTGTTTTAGATTTCAAATCTGAACAGATGACAGTAACGTAACTTTAATCCGTAGCTGCGTAAAATGACACCACACATTCACAAATACTCCTGAACTGTGACTGGAAGCACAGACACTATAAAACTACAGCACCAAATCACCCCAGATTAAACTAAATGTCTAATCATCATCAATATCAACAGTTCGTGTGACATGTGGCGCATCCACCGAAAATAAAAGTGCAAATATATTTATTTTAAAAAATTGCATCAGGCAGTTATGCAAATCTCCTAAGGTGCAGACAGCGACACCTATGTCTTTGTCAAAGTAATTGGTTTCGAATGAAAACACCGTGGCTATTATTCCAAATTAATGGATTCATTGAGACGCACTTCACCTCCTGTGGAGGCAGCACTTCCTCCGGGGATCAACGGCGTGAGTATTCTGTCCAGATCCGCCACTGTGTTACACATACGCAACAATTATAAATACTTTTTAAAAAAAATCTAATTCAAAGTTGAGACTATACTTCGAGTCCCTTGGAAGCTGGATTTAGTTTATTAGAGCATTTATTGCCAGACATGGAGACAATGGGCCTTGAATGAAATCTCCAATCAGCTTCACACCTTGTTAACGCCACCATTAGTCTCCCTTTACATTGGCTGATTGGCGATTTACATTTGCGACCAAATAGCATCTTTACTGCTGTTTACCGAGGGTTTGGGGGCCGCGGAGAATAGACAGGGACATTTGATATAAAAAGTGGAGTCTCCAGGACCCGGCAGTCACTGCGGCTCCAAGTTCCAGACTGCTCGTGCGCTTCGAGGACATTGGTGAAGATGAAGATGCTGACGCTCGCTCTCAGCCTTGCTGCACTGGTTTGTACGATTCTTGCGCGGCCTTCGTTAAACTACCTGGAGAACCATTTCACCGGAGAGGACGAGTCCAATGAAGTTCGATCTGCTGCCATTAAGAGGCTTTTGGAGGTTTTTGGAATGGAGGATCCTCCCGCGATCCACGGACACAAGCAGGCGCCGCAGTACATGCTTGATCTGTACAACACTGTGGCCGATGTGGACGGTGTGACCAAGGACCCGTACCTTCTGGAAGGGAATACTGTGCGCAGTTTCTTCGACAGATGTAAGACACTGTTTGTGCATGCGTGACTTAAAAAAAAAAATTAACCCCTTATATAGTATGCTGTAGAATACTTTGGTATTTACTGTTTTTTTTTAATTATTCTACTGCAGTGCGTAGTGAACAAGTGGAGTTCAGGTTCAACTTGTCCACAGTGGCCACCACTGAGAAGATCCTGACTGCAGAGCTCCATCTGTTCAAGCTGAGACCTCAGGCAATGCTGGCATTTAACAGACATCACTTCTGCCAGGTATGTCATCTGAACTGAGAACAAAAACCAGTAAGACACCACTGGCTTCTCCTGTTTCTAAAAGATCTAAACCTCTCCTTCACCCAGGTCAGTGTGTATCAGCTGCTGCCCACCACAAAAAACAGCAGCGCGCACGGCAGGAAGCTTCTGTCTTCTCGCCTCATCCCTGTCCACTCCACAGGGTGGGAGGTGTTCACCATTACCCAAGCTGTAAGTAGCCTCCTCTCAGGAGGAGGATGGAGAAGATGAGGCAAAGCCAGGAGTGAGTCATGTGTGTTGAATTACCTTTGTGTTCTCCTGAAGGTCCGCTCCTGGATGGCAGATGAGGGCAACAACCTGGGCCTCAGTGTGGTGGTGCAGACCCTGGGTGGAGGCCAGATGGACACGAAGCTGATCCGCTTTGCTTCAGGACGCCACCACCACCAAAGCAAGCAGCCCATGTTGGTTCTCTTCACCGATGATGGACGCAGGTCTGCCACTGTGGAGAACGCAGGTGAGGTTTTCATCTCTTCCTTATATACTTCATGACATTTCAAATTGTGGATCCTGGCTCCACTGGTTTGCATGACTAGACTCAGGTCACTTCACTGAATATTTCACATTATACATGTTTTGTTCTGAAACTGTAGCAAAAAAAAAGAGAGTTAATTCCATACCTGTGGGAAAGTAGATAATCTCTTTTAATTCCATACCTGTGGGACAGTAGATAATCTCTTATTTTATGTTAACAGTCAGCCAAAAAATAAATAAAAATATATATATATATATATGGAACAAATCACTCGTTCATAATTTGAATGACATACAAATCACAAAACATATCCATAAAATACATCTGCTTCGGATATAAAGACTTACCATGGGAGCTATGTTCTTCAATAACCAAAGTACTCAACCACACCCTCTTGTGGACTGAAAAGACATTGCGTCGGCAGGTGGAAAACGGGAAAAAACAACTGTTAAAATTAAACAAAATCAAACTTCCCTTACGGTTCAAATCTTCTAAAACACGATTCTTTGTCATCATGGCATTTTTTAAAAACATATTTTAGTATTGTTTTAACTTTAGTGTTTTTTTTAGGTGTTTTAAAATTAAATTAAGAACCACAATGTATCATGCTTGCTAACTAGGTCAAGGTAAGTGGGTAAAATACAGGATCAAAATAATAACAAAAAGCTTACTTCATGTCAGACTTTTGTATTTTTTGACCATAACTTTAGACAAACCTCAGCAGGGTCTAACATAAAGCTCCATCTTCTTACCCCAGACCCAAACGACACAGCAGCCACTTCCAGTTTGCCAGAGGCCCCTCTGTCTGGTCCGCCTTCCCGCAGCGCTCGATCTCTGGACTACAGTGAGGAAGAAGGCGCGTCCACGTCCTGCCAACGGATGCCTCTCTACGTTGACTTTGAGGAGATCGGCTGGTCTGGATGGATCGTCTCTCCCCGGGGCTACAACGCGTACCACTGCAAAGGCTCCTGCCCCTTCCCTCTGGGTCAGAACATGAGGCCCACCAACCACGCCACCGTGCAGTCCATCATCAACGCCCTGAAGCTGATCAAAGGCATTGAGACACCGTGCTGTGTGCCGGACAAGCTCTTCTCCATCAACCTGCTATACTTTGACGACGATGAAAATGTTGTGTTGAAACAGTACAGCGACATGGTGGCTGGGAGCTGCGGCTGCCACTGACACAAAGTCCTCTGGACTCGGTGACAGTCCGAGGTGGTGTTGTAAATGTTGTATATGTAAATATCCATAAATTATAATATATGGCAGTGATGGAAGTTTTATCTCGTGAATGTAAATGTGTATATTTTAGCTGTGAACGATTATACAGTTGTAATAAAAGACGTGAACGGACCTTGACGTAAATGCATTTTGTGAACTTAATCCAATGAATACATTTAATCTGATACTGTTTGTAAGAAAACAACATAGTTGACCAAGAAATTGAACAAGAATGATGTCATAAAGTTAAGAAGAGAAAATCCACTTTCTTCCATCCACCTCACCTGGAAATTCCACAGTAAAAACCACTGTTTTACCACCTACTACGTGTCCAGTCACATCAGTCAGTCAGTTGGCATCAGTCTTCACTGAAAATAAATCTGTGTCATCATCCTCCAAACATTCGTCCATGGAGCTCTTCAGCTCCGGTCCAGCCAGGTGATTGACCACACCCACGCCAAAAGCATCAGACATCACATTGGTGATGGTTCTCAGACGATCCCTGTTTACAGCCATGGAAGGAACGCTGAGGTCAGAGGTCAGCTCTGTGGATAACCCTGATTATGATTTCAGTGTTGGCACTCACAATATCCAGTCCACTGTGACGATCAGTGAAATGCCCTCCAGTGGGAGTCCAGCTGATGACAGCACCAGGGTGATGGTGACGAGGCCCCCCTGTGGAACTCCGGTGGCACCGATTGCAGCGACCTCAGCAGTTATACTGAAATGACATCATTCAAAACAAGCCATTACATACTGTACGTCCACCTACCTGTGAAGAAGATAAACAAGTCCTTAGTTATTGGCACAAAAATCCCAACCAATGCATTATCACCACTGTGGAATAATTACAGAAAATACTGAGGTTGAAATGAATATGCGTTACTGCCCCCTAACTCTAACTCCACACTTTGAAGGCCACTGGCCTGTATGAACATTGTGAGTTTTGAACCTACCCAATCAGGATGATCTGTCCGACACTGAGGTTGATGTGATAAACCTGGGCTATGAATATGGAGGCGACGACCTCGTAGAGGGCTGTGCCATCCATGGTCATGATCGCTCCCATCGGCACCATGAAACGTGTCACCTTCTTGTCCATGTTAAGATACGTCTCCAGACAGTGGATGGTGACTGGGAGGGTCGCAGTACTGCAGACAAAACCTAAAAGTTCATACATTTAACAAATTAACAATTTTTTTTCACATTTTGCAGCTTCCCACCTGGATGAAGTGCCAAAAGCCATGGTCAGAGCCTCCAGCAGTCCGCTCACAAACCTGATGGGATTTTTACGTGTGATTACAATATAGATAAGAGGCAGGACCACCAGGCAGTGGAGGGCCAGGCCGGTGACCAGAGTGACAGTGTACATGCCAATCTGACGTCCAATCACACCCATGTCTTTCATTTTCAAAATCTGCCCTCCAACTAAGAAGAGAATTCCGACCGGAGAGTACCTGTTGGAGAGTGAAAGTGAGAAGGAGCAAAAACATCTGTGACAACGGTGTCAGTTTGAAAACGTTTTGTTCAATACAGACAGATTTATTTCTAACAGTTTCCTGCGAATGAGGAGAAAATAAAACTCTCTGTAATCATTTTCTACTGCGGTTTATCGACACACTGTGCGTTTCACATTTATTTTGAAACCCAAACTGCAGTTGTATCGTACAGTACTCGGTATTGATGAGTACACAAATGAGAGCACTGACGTATTTGCTTCCCCCTGTTCTTACCAGATGATAACACTAATCAGATGCATGGTGACTTTGCTGAGGCAGTCGAAGAAGTCTCTCATGGGTTTACCCTCATCACCCATGTAGTTCAGGATGACCCCGGTGCCGACGGAGAAGACCACTAAACCTAGGATGTTCATCCCATCTGTGCTGCCTGGTATTGGTACTGTTTCACCTAAGGGTCAAAATACTGCTGTCACGCCATTTTGTTTTCAAAATAAAAAGGGAGCAGAACATGTCACAGTAACAGGAAAACCAACTCACTTTCAGTGGCGTTATCATCACCTGATGTTTTCTTCTCAGAATAAACTGTTACATACTGAAGACATGTAGAAAAACAAATGTGTTTGAGAATGAAGTAATAAAACAAATATTAGGGTAAAAAGAGGAACGTACCAGACTGAAAGAAGCTTTCACAAGATTTGAAGGAAACATATTTCTGCGAACAAAAAAAACAAAACAAAAATCAACAACACGACTGATTATAGATTGGGATTAACTTGTCTGAAAATAACACATACTGTACCTGATCAAATCAAGAAAGGCGTCTAGAGTCTGCATGGGGGTTGAATTTCCAACAGAGGTCGCTGTAATGTGCTCTGGAGATTTTCCCGGCTTGATAAATATTGCCAAAAGAACACCTGAGGTCAGAGCTAAGAAGGTGGTTGTTGCGTAATAACAAAAAGAGTAGAGCCCTATTTTTCCATACGTCTTCTTCTCCACAGATGCTATGCCTGAAACGATGAATCAAAATATCAGGTTTCCTGAGTTTAAGTTAGTAAAAATCTACAGAATCTATCCACCTCTGGCACTTCAACAAGTTCAACATATAATCCCACCGCTGATTATTGTGCAATAAATTTGTCCTCAGTAGGTCAGAGTCAGTGGTATTTTTGGTACAAAGTTGTAAACAAACCTGCGATCAGGCTGGAAACGATCAGAGGAAGAAGCATCATCTCCAACATTCTCAGCAGCATCTGACCAGGAAAGGTGAAGTAATTTATTTGAGTTTCTGTCATGTTGACAGGCTGCAGGGCAAAACCCAGGGCAATACCTGTGGGCAGGAAAAAAAGACATTGAAAAGGAGGCAAATTGTATAAAAACAAGGCATTGAAATACCTGAAATAGCTCTGGAAACTAAAACAATACTACCTTTAACTATTTAGGTACAGGTATGAGGACAAAATAGGTCAATTGTGTTTCCAAAAACAGGGCAAAATGGTCGGCTGTGTTCAGAGCCAAAAAAAGAGAAAGAAAATCCTATAAAAAATATACTCATAACTCACTAATAATGACTAAGTTATGGCAGTTGATTTTAATTTCAAATGATCCATTCAGCCTTTTTAAATGTTTTAGGAATGTAAGAAAAACAGCAGAACCATAAAAAAACATCTATAGATCTGACACTAACCATATCCCATATGTCACTGACATACAGTTGAAAGAAAACTGTGGAAATAATAACAACAATGTTCCACTTACCCAGGATGATAGCAGCCAGAGTTAACAGAATTAAAGCATTTTTCTTAAGAATGTCTGTGATGTTACATTTCTTTTTCGACAAACAGTTTGAATTTGTGGATTCTATATCTTCAAGGCAAGTCTGAGTATCTCCGTCTCCAGTCTCAGGCTGAGCGCAGAGAGACATCGTCTGCTTCTGTAGGAAAAGAAAATAAGGTCTGATCAAGAAGGAATTAAACTTTGCTACAAAGACAAGACAGGTTAGAGTTAATTCTTTAAAAAAACAGCCAACCACATTCCTATGAAAAGATCAGTTTGTACAGTTTAGGAGCACATTTAACAAAGGCGGCGTTTGTTTGAACTTCTCAGCACCTCCCACCCCCAGGTTGTCACCTACTTTAAATAAACTCAAGTCTGTCAGTTTTCAAGAATTTTAATTCTATTCTTTAGTGACACACAACTTGTTATTTTCCCCACTTCAAAAGACCCATGTCAGGAGTGTAACCTGAGCAGTGGCCGAGGCGTTGGCCACAGAGTGGCACTAAAGGGTTTTGATACCACTTGGCATGATGCTGAACGACAGCCCTCGGCCATTGTCAGAGGGGCTGCTATTCACAGAGAAGAAAATGAGGAAATGCTGCCATTATAATCAGGACCAAAGGGCCCTGTGGCAGCCTGACACCCGATCTGCTCATTGGTCTGCCCTCCTTTTGTGCCAGTATTTCATATCTGACATATTCATGCAGCCGGAAATTTGGAGCAGCAATGGCCCTGCGGCCGGTGGTGGGTGCTCTCAGACATGGGGAACAAACAGACCATCTTCACAACACAGCAGCTGGACGCCTATCAGGTGTGTGTCTGTCATTTTACATTATTACTGTTGACCTTACACAGCTCTGTGTGTGTGCGTGTGAAGATAACAGGTTTATTGTTAAAGAAAAGAAAAGAAACTTTAGTAATGTGACGTGAGAGAGGCTTTGTTTAATTAGCTATGTTTTTTAAAATTCTCACATTTGTTTGTTTTATATTAGAACAGACTTTAAGACGTAAAGTAAAGGTAGAGAAAGTAATGTTAATTTTATTTATGAAATTTGCCAAAGATCTGACACTGTACTGCCTCAACAGCCAACCCAAACAACAGGTTTTGATGACACACAAACGTGTACAAATGTAGACATTTGATGAATATTTTATTATGTCCATAAAAACCCAGGATGTCAAATTAACACTTCTCAAATGTCAGCCGTTAGCTAGTTTTTATCATCATATTTTGACTATGAACTATGAAGCAGTTAATTAAATCAACTGTTTTCGAAATACTTGTCTTTCCAGTGTTTGGGCAAAACATTTTACAGAAAGTTATTTATTTCTGCACTGCTCTGTATGTGTTTACAGGACTGTACCTACTTCACACGAAAGGAAATTCTCAGGTCAGTATCCCGTACCAAACCTGACACAGTTGACTCTTAGTTGTCAAATCTGCTAATACAAATAATAAATTAAAAGAATTTTTTTATTTACTTCAAACAGACTGTTCTACCGCTATCGGGATTTGGCTCCACAGCTTGTTCCCCTTGACTACACCAGCCACCCAGATGTGAAGCTACCATATGAGCTGATTGGCAGCATGCCTGAGCTGAAGGTAGACACACTGGCCCGTGCACGCCCTGCAGACCCGCACTCTCCCTGAGCTCGATCCATAATTTATGACCAACTAATCGACAGAATTCTTTGAAAGGTTACGTGTTACCCGACTCCTTTAAACTGTAAGAATGCAGGTGGGTCCCCAAGGACACACCTTTTGTATATGGGTCAGTGATATGCCTCTTTACACAGTGATATAGGGCTAAGCAGGTGTGAGTAAACATCTCATGAGAAAGCGAGAGTGAGGCTGTCGCCAGGGAAGCCTTCGCTCAATCACGTTTTAATACAGTGAATTTCAGATGTAAACATGCCCGTGGTTATTTTGAAAATCAAATAAGTGACAACTGTACGTTAAAATACAAACATCAGATCTCCTCCTTCTCTCCAGGACAACCCGTTTCGTCAGAGGATCGCTGAAGTTTTTTCCGAGGACGGAGAAGGAAACATGACCCTGGACGACTTTTTGGACATGTTTTCTGTCCTCAGTGAGATGGCACCACGTGACCTCAAGGCCTACTATGCTTTCAAGATTTATGGTAGTATTTTTTTTACATTACATTTATTTATTTTTTATTATGAATTGTTGTCATATGCCATTCATCACTGTGGTATTAAAGGCAGACAGTGGTCTTCAAAGGGGGGCCCTAGTTAAAAGTTTAATGAGTTGTGTTTGTACTTCAACTTGGAGCAGACCTGGGCAAACTACAGCTCGTGGGCCAGATATGGCCCGCTGAGCCCTCTAATCTGGCCCGTTGAACACATGGTATGGCATGGTAAATACTGAAGTCAAGCTTTCTGTTTCATGCATTACAACAAAACCATTATTTCTGTTGAGGCAAAGGTGCCAAATTACCACTGAAAGTTTTTCCGTGTACATGTTATTTACTTTATAGATCCAAAGATAGGATAGGATAACAGCAATCACTTTTGCAAACGTTACCTTTTTAAAATGGTTCTCTGATGTTGTGTAACATGTTCCGCTGAAGAATCACAAGAACATATGCAGATTTGACGGATGTCTTGTGGACCTGTAAGCATAACAGAAAAATATGAATAATTCAGCAGTCTATAATAGATGCAAAGTACTCAAAGCACCCGTTTGTCCTCAGCCCTAATAACCAAATGATGACAGATGAATTATCTGCCTCCACACGAAAAAAATCATTAATAATTCATTACCACAGAGAAATATTCAAGGCAGTTGACAGTGTAAAACCACTGGTTAACAATAGACATAACAAAGGTTATCTACAGTATGTAGATAAGAAGATTAAAAAAAAACTTTTAGAAACTTAGTTATTATTAAGTGCAACAAAACTGCAGCAGTTAAGACGTGACTCTTATTTAAATATAAAAACTTTACAGTTATAGGAGACAGATGCTGATATTTCTCTTTCTTGTCTAGTAATTCTTCATATGGAGGAATGACAATGTACCTTGATTAATTATGTTACATTTCCATGGTGATTAATCATGGTTAAAAATGTGAATCGACTGACAACCCTAACGCGTGTCTCTGACAGACTTCAACAATGACGACTTTATCTGCAAGTCAGACTTGGAGAAGACACTGAACAAACTCACTCGCAACGAGCTGACGGAGGACGAGGTGAGAATGGTTTGTGAGAAGGTGATCGACGAGGCCGACCTGGACAACGACGGACGACTGTCGCTGGAGGACTTCCAGCACATGATCGTCCGGGCTCCTGACTTCCTGAGGTACGTTGGTGTCCAGAGGCGGTGGCATAAAACTGTCCTTAAAGACGTACAACAGTACACACACACACACACACACACACACACACACAAGCTGCATGAGTATAAAAAAAATCATATTGACTGCAGAAGAGAATGAAACAGAACTGTGTTTTGTCTTCACAGTACATTCCACATAAGAATATAAGGAAAGGAACTCATCACACGAACTACTTTTCTCCCTTGTGATACAAAAGTATTTTTTCACCTCTGTACTACATCTATTCTAGAGAGGTATACTTCAAAAGGATTTGAATTACTGGGGGTTGGGGGGTCAGCTCCCCAACATGACTACTTTGTGACATTAGGGGGAGCTCTGAAAAATTGTCCATTATTGTGTCAGACTTTATGTACAGTCAGGTTTCTGGAATACTACTGATTAACTACTGAACTACTGAAAATACTACTGAAAAATATATGAAATTTACAATTAACATCAGTATATTGCTAATGACAATTTGTACCATTTTCTCTGAGGGAATTACTGCAGGTCAAACCCTCCATTTACAGACAACATTCTAGTTATATCAACACATTAGTGTGTCATTGGTTTTTCCCTTTCAGGGAGTCACATGGGTAGCCAATCGGATGGGGAGCAGTCAGTGGGGGATGCCCTGGACAGTTCACCTGAGACACACATTCACTCAGAGTACCTGGAGAGAAAACACATACACAGAAGGAACATTTAAATATACAGTATATAGTTTGTAGAAAAAAAAGATTAAAAAGAATTAAATAATCTAGTACTCACTCCCCTAATATTTGTGTAAGAGTAGCATCAGGGAATAAGTTGCCTTAAAGCACTGGTTCCCAAAGGCTTTCTGTAGCGCCCCCCACTGTCGACATATCCATGGGTATTGAATCAACTTCCTACACAACTTTATTTAAAACATTGTAATTCATGCAAATTGCTACTCATATTAAGCAAAGGAAAAAAAATCAGTCAAATGTTTCCACTGTATCATAAATATTTTTTTTAAAATGGATAAATACAATAGATAAACTGTTGAAATTGAAAGCATATCGTTTTTCTTTCCCTCCCCTTCATTTGATTCACAACCCCAAGGAGAGTCCCTCACCCCACTGTGGGAACCACAGCCGTAAAGGGTTCGTGCAAAAAATGAATGAATAAATGTAAATAACACAACAAGCTAATTATTTTTGTTTTAATAAATCAACAGCACACATGTCTACGAATTGTAGATAACTTTTTATATGCACTTAGAAAGTTCAGTACAGTTCAAGTAATTCATTTGTCAATTTGATATTTACATTTTTTCCCTCCACTTTTTAAAATGTTTGATTCTCCCTTTATACTTCACAATGTATGAAATGTATGAAACCAAATGTGGTTTTTAAAAATGTGTGTAAAAAAAAAGTGATATCAATAAAAAACAAACAAAAAACCAAATGTGAACATAAGCATTGTTGGAACGAAATCGATTCAGCTGGAGTTCACGTGTGTGTGTGTCTATAACTTAAAGCTAAGGCTTCGTTCTGATGACATAACATTATCTCCACATTACAACTAGCAGATTGTTCCTACTTGACCTTCAGTCATGTGTGGGAGGTGAATTCCACTCACATCAATGACAGAGACTAATTTTTTTAAAAGGAAAACGCAGCAAATCCTGTTCCTTTCTTTTGGCTCAGTGAATTTGAACAAAAATAATGCCTACATCTTTAAACAGTTCTGCAAAGGTCCAAGATTTAAATGCATAGCTCACTGATGACAATAGGATTATTGGGGGTTTAGACAAAGGGTCACAGTGGGCGTGATGGCCCACGTTATAGATATTAAAATATCTGCAAGCAATTAAAGCAAGGTCCACTGTGTATGCAGGAGGGTGTGTTCCCAACAAAATAAAACGCAAGAACAAAAAAAAAAAAAAAATCAAGACTTGTTTGGTGTGTTCATGTTTAGTTCAATGTGGCAGCTGTTTTTTAAAAAAAATAAAAATACTGGTTCACACTAAAGCGCGGTTGGTCACCTGTGACAAAGTGTGCGTCTGGTGCCACCTAGTGGTCCACATAAGAAGTCACAATAAACAGGAATGCAAGAAAATGTTTTAGAATAAAAACGGAATAATACTAATGAAACCACGTCAGATCTTGGTATATATATGTGAGCCGAGATAACATAATTTTAAATATATAATTTGGCAGGGCAGTAGCATATAAAGACAATGTCGCAATGACAAAATATTTGGTACAAATATATATAAGTGAAGTAAGACAGGGATTTTTTTTCAGTGAATTACTACCATGAGAGTGGATCACTAGCAGTAAAACTGCAGAGGAGTAAATTAGTTTTCTTTTTATGTAGGTGCATTTAGACTTTAGAACGATTCCCATTATGTTTCAAATTCCTCTTCAGCCATGACATCCTTCAACGCTTCATTGAAATTTCGTTTGCTGCGGTGTAAACATATTAAATGACAAAGACGAGTCAAACACGAGATAATGATAAAGTGCAAGGAGAGCTGCTAAGGCAGCAGAGGGTGATACAAACTGCTGATCAAAAATCCACAGACGTCATTTAGCCTGAATGTGACAGAGCTGCACAAAACCTTAAGAACAAAATAAATAAAAAGATTTTAAAGGTAGCAAAAGAAACAAACAAAAAACTGTTCCAACTGGGATGAATCCCTCCGTCTCTAATTTGAGGACGTCCATTTCTCCCATGAAAAAGGTCCAATTAAATACAGAATAAAGCAAAATATTGTGCAATCTACTGTATTTACCCTAATTATTACCCTATGTATGTACCCTATTTATAACCCTTTAGGATCACTTACTGGCTAAAATAAAAGATTAAATAAAACAAATAAATACAACATGGACCAAACGAGCGTCAAAATAACCTGAGGAAAATAAACCATTTGTCTACTTCTAAGAAATCTATAAACCCATCTCTAATCTATGGTCACATGTTGCCCCATGTTGTTTTTAAGCAGTGAACATTTTGTGCAGCTCTGTTTCACTAAAGATCAAACCAATCAGTCTCTGGACAGGACTTGTCACATAAGAAGGGCAAAGCCACTAATAAAGAAGTTCTAAATATTAAAATCACATTTTTATTTTTAATCCCTAGATCTTGGCCAAAATTGTTCTGAATGATCTTTTGGTTATGGTTGTGCTGTGGATGTATAGAAAATTAAAAAGAGGTTAAAGAGAAGAGTATGAACCTGTTTCTGTGAAACATGAAATATCTGGACAATACTGTAAGACAGTATCGTCCACAGGTGAAGTGGTCCAAGTCATGAAGACAGCAGATCTCCTGGTGACTGGAAGAACTGCATCGCTGGAAGCTTTGAGAAGATAAAGAGCAAAAGACCTTCACTCACTGAGAGTAAACTGGTTTATGTGGACTGGGAGGACAAACCGTGGTTGGGTTGCAAGGGACGGAACGGGACAGGAAGTGCTTAAAGCAAGCACAGTCCATTCCGGTCCAGCCGGCTGTCAGCCAGTGTCAACGGTCTCGGCGCTCAGAGTAAGTTACAGCGAAAGAAGCTGGTTTTCTTCTGAGGCTCTGAGATCTTAACTCCATGACTGCTGCCCTGTGGTGCGTTCCCCTCCTGCAGCAACACAACCAACAGACAGGGGTCGGACTTAAGCAGCATCACGACAGTGGTGAGTTACACCCAGCAAATAAAAGACACAGTTGAAAACATTGTGCATGTCATGTGACAATAAAAACAAATAATCTGCAACATGAAGAATATTACAGTGAAAACCTTGTATATGGACTCTTTTTTAGTTTAATTTCCCTGGTTTCCTCTCCTTTTCATTTTATGAATTTCAGTAAATTCATAATTTCTTTGGAGTGAAATTCTTCACCTACTTACCAATTTTGTGTCCATTTTTGTTTTGATGTCTCTGGCCAGCGTCAGAAATGCCTGAAAAGTGGGACAAACAAACATGTGTCACATCTGTGATGCATCTGCTAAGGCCATTCTAACCTACTGCAGAACAATGACATACGTTTTCCACATTGATGTTGGCCTTTGCACTCGTTTCCACAAATTTGATCCCATACTCTAGTGCAAGCTGGAAGAAAGACACGCACAGGAATCAGTGAAATCAAATGAAAGAATAACTGTACTCGGACTATTGAGATGATGTTGACAAACCTTCTCCCCTCGGTCTTTGGAAACCTGACGCTTGTCGTTTATGTCACATTTGTTCCCCAGGATCATCTTCTCAACATCAGAAGAAGCATGCTTGATTTTTAAGGGGAAAAAAAGAGATACGTTTAACAAAACACTGTATTATTCAGTCATAAATGAGATGATATGAAGTTTTACCTCCTCTATGTTTCTTATCCAGTTCTTGATGTTATCAAAAGACTTCTCGTTGGTGATGTCATAGACGAGCATGATGCCCTAGGGATGAATGAACAGAAGTCAAGCACTTTGATGGTTTAATAAATGATCGTACAGTACAGTATAGACAGTGCATGATGCATTGAAACACATTGGGAACAAATTTAAAATAGTTCCACAAGTTTTTTGAAGCAGCCTGGTAAAAAAAAAAAGAACAAAGGTCATAATACTAATATAGCAGGTAAATAAAAATGCATCCTTCAGTGTCCCAACATTTATTTACATTTTAGGTTGTAAATAGACTAAGGCCTTACCATGGCTCCTCTGTAATAAGCTGTTGTGATTGTCCTGAAGCGCTCCTGACCAGCGGTGTCCCTGAAATAAACAGCAGAGTTGTTACGGAGCTGAATGAACTATATCAGAAAATGAAAATGTAAAATACAGTATATAATTGGCATTGCAGTCTAGGCATTTCTTTTTTTATTGGGTGGTCTTTAAACATGGGTTGCAGAGCTGAAGCTGAGGGCAGAAACGAGCTTTTAAGACAAATAGTCAAAAGGACCAAACTATAGGCATTTTTCTAAATTCCCCTACAAGTGTAAAGATGGAAAGAGATTAAAAATCAACATCTCATCTCATTTTTTCAGTGAATTACTACCATGAGAGTGGATCACTAGCAGTAAAACTGCAGAGGAGTAAATTAGTTTTCTTTTTATGTAGGTGCATTTAGACTTTAGAACGATTCCCATTATGTTTCAAATTCCTCTTCAGCCATGACATCCTTCAACGCTTCATTGAAATTTCGTTTGCTGCGGTGTAAACATATTAAATGACAAAGACGAGTCAAACACGAGATAATGATAAAGTGCAAGGAGAGCTGCTAAGGCAGCAGAGGGTGATACAAACTGCTGATCAAAAATCCACAGACGTCATTTAGCCTGAATGTGACAGAGCTGCACAAAACCTTAAGAACAAAATAAATAAAAAGATTTTAAAGGTAGCAAAAAAAAACAAAAAAAAAAACAACTGATCATTCACCAACTGTTCCAACTGGGATGAATCCCTCCGTCTCTAATTTGAGGACGTCCATTTCTCCCATGAAAAAGGTCCAATTAAATACAGAATAAAGCAAAATATTGTGCAATCTACTGTATTTACCCTAATTATTACCCTATGTATGTACCCTATTTATAACCCTTTAGGATCACTTACTGGCTAAAATAAAAGATTAAATAAAACAAATAAATACAACATGGACCAAACGAGCGTCAAAATAACCTGAGGAAAATAAACCATTTGTCTACTTCTAAGAAATCTATAAACCCATCTCTAATCTATGGTCACATGTTGCCCCATGTTGTTTTTAAGCAGTGAACATTTTGTGCAGCTCTGTTTCACTAAAGATCAAACCAATCAGTCTCTGGACAGGACTTGTCACATAAGAAGGGCAAAGCCACTAATAAAGAAGTTCTAAATATTAAAATCACATTTTTATTTTTAATCCCTAGATCTTGGCCAAAATTGTTCTGAATGATCTTTTGGTTATGGTTGTGCTGTGGATGTATAGAAAATTAAAAAGAGGTTAAAGAGAAGAGTATGAACCTGTTTCTGTGAAACATGAAATATCTGGACAATACTGTAAGACAGTATCGTCCACAGGTGAAGTGGTCCAAGTCATGAAGACAGCAGATCTCCTGGTGACTGGAAGAACTGCATCGCTGGAAGCTTTGAGAAGATAAAGAGCAAAAGACCTTCACTCACTGAGAGTAAACTGGTTTATGTGGACTGGGAGGACAAACCGTGGTTGGGTTGCAAGGGACGGAACGGGACAGGAAGTGCTTAAAGCAAGCACAGTCCATTCCGGTCCAGCCGGCTGTCAGCCAGTGTCAACGGTCTCGGCGCTCAGAGTAAGTTACAGCGAAAGAAGCTGGTTTTCTTCTGAGGCTCTGAGATCTTAACTCCATGACTGCTGCCCTGTGGTGCGTTCCCCTCCTGCAGCAACACAACCAACAGACAGGGGTCGGACTTAAGCAGCATCACGACAGTGGTGAGTTACACCCAGCAAATAAAAGACACAGTTGAAAACATTGTGCATGTCATGTGACAATAAAAACAAATAATCTGCAACATGAAGAATATTACAGTGAAAACCTTGTATATGGACTCTTTTTTAGTTTAATTTCCCTGGTTTCCTCTCCTTTTCATTTTATGAATTTCAGTAAATTCATAATTTCTTTGGAGTGAAATTCTTCACCTACTTACCAATTTTGTGTCCATTTTTGTTTTGATGTCTCTGGCCAGCGTCAGAAATGCCTGAAAAGTGGGACAAACAAACATGTGTCACATCTGTGATGCATCTGCTAAGGCCATTCTAACCTACTGCAGAACAATGACATACGTTTTCCACATTGATGTTGGCCTTTGCACTCGTTTCCACAAATTTGATCCCATACTCTAGTGCAAGCTGGAAGAAAGACACGCACAGGAATCAGTGAAATCAAATGAAAGAATAACTGTACTCGGACTATTGAGATGATGTTGACAAACCTTCTCCCCTCGGTCTTTGGAAACCTGACGCTTGTCGTTTATGTCACATTTGTTCCCCAGGATCATCTTCTCAACATCAGAAGAAGCATGCTTGATTTTTAAGGGGAAAAAAAGAGATACGTTTAACAAAACACTGTATTATTCAGTCATAAATGAGATGATATGAAGTTTTACCTCCTCTATGTTTCTTATCCAGTTCTTGATGTTATCAAAAGACTTCTCGTTGGTGATGTCATAGACGAGCATGATGCCCTAGGGATGAATGAACAGAAGTCAAGCACTTTGATGGTTTAATAAATGATCGTACAGTACAGTATAGACAGTGCATGATGCATTGAAACACATTGGGAACAAATTTAAAATAGTTCCACAAGTTTTTTGAAGCAGCCTGGTAAAAAAAAAAAGAACAAAGGTCATAATACTAATATAGCAGGTAAATAAAAATGCATCCTTCAGTGTCCCAACATTTATTTACATTTTAGGTTGTAAATAGACTAAGGCCTTACCATGGCTCCTCTGTAATAAGCTGTTGTGATTGTCCTGAAGCGCTCCTGACCAGCGGTGTCCCTGAAATAAACAGCAGAGTTGTTACGGAGCTGAATGAACTATATCAGAAAATGAAAATGTAAAATACAGTATATAATTGGCATTGCAGTCTAGGCATTTCTTTTTTTATTGGGTGGTCTTTAAACATGGGTTGCAGAGCTGAAGCTGAGGGCAGAAACGAGCTTTTAAGACAAATAGTCAAAAGGACCAAACTATAGGCATTTTTCTAAATTCCCCTACAAGTGTAAAGATGGAAAGAGATTAAAAATCAACATCTCATCTCATGAACTTTTTAGTATTTGGAGCCCTGTGGAATTTTCCACTCAATGGCGGAATTGAGAGGTACTGTTCCAGGCATTTTTAATATATCTTCAAAACTTTACACATTTTTTTGGAACTTTGCTGCAATGACTTCGGGAGAAACATGGTGCAGACACACGGGTAACGCTGTCATCTGGTCAAACATCTTTCAGTGAACGAATTAAACTCACCATATCTGTAACTTTATCTTCTTGCCGTCCAGCTCTATTGTCCTAATCTTGAAATCAATGCCTGCAGGGACAGAGGGGAGTCATCGTGTATGTCACTGATAACCTTAGCCCGCTAGCATCTGTCAAACTGCGGCTACAACAGGCTGAACACAAAACTCTGACACTGTATAATACGAACAAGCTGAAAGCGATATTGACATAGGGGTTGCTGAATTTATGAAATGCGTCAAAAAGAAGCTGTAGTGTAAAGTATAACTGCTTTTCCGGTGTGCGCCAGGATGTAAACGGGCCTAACAGTTGACGTCAGCGCTGTCTGTTAGCTAACAGAATAGCCCGGCATTATTATAAATATCACAGCTTAGCAAACATTAAAATTGATTTAACAATAAACAGTCACAATTCACTCCACCCCACCACATTTTAGATACGTTGTCATGCGTGTAACACATTATGCGAAGATAATATCTGACGAACGATGGACCTTGTGACAAATAGAAACTACTTCCTTCCAGCAAGTAGACGGAGCCTGAGTCAGTCCCGTGTAAACAGACACAGAGGAGCAGTTTAAATGAGCATAATCTTACCTATCGTTGAGATAAACGTTGAGTTGAAGGCGTCTTCTGAAAACCTGAATAAGACACAGGTTTTACCGACACCTGAGTCACCGATTAACAGTAATTTAAACAAATAATCGTACGTCTTCGCCATACTTGGTATTACTACAGAAATCCCGCCCGGCGAAGCATTGACGTATCGAAGAGAAATGACGCCCTCTGCTGGCAGGGAATTCATCTGCGCTTAATCGTTCACTGTATATATACTGTATATATACATACATCTATTTTTGTTATTAGTAATGTATATGAACGCGAATTTAACACATAACTCATAATATCTTGAAATACCTTTACATACTATATACAGTGTATCCCTTAACAAGGTCGGAGCGGTGGTAGGACTCCCACCTGCCACATATAGTAAGTTTATCTCCTTTTTCAATGGTAATGGAATCATCAAGATGAATCACCCTTACATCACGACAGGTCACGTTTATGTTCTGCATCACAACAGGTTTTAACACATGTCAGAGCAGAGGGGACAGAGTGCGACTTGGATATGGAATGTTATGTGACACTGTTAGATATTATTACTTGTTTAACAGGTCTTGTATGGCATTTGTTTAAATACTACAGCTATTTAATTGTCGCTGCTCATCTATCACCAACCACCTCCAAAGTGAATTTAATAATTATTAAAGGAGGTGGTGACCTGTTGAAATGTCAGATATTTTAGTTAAGCTACCTAACATACGGTCATAATTTAAGGTTTGCACTGCTCATGGTGAACACACCTGTAATGTTGTCAGCCAGCATTCTTTGCATTCTCACCTCACTGCTTACATTTTACATTCTGGTTGCATTGTAGTCATTTATAGTACACTCTTGCGTTAGCAAAGGTATATAGTACTGTGAGTACCTGTAGCTGCATGTTAATTCATGCTGCAGTGCGGAGCAGAGACCAGGACAACAAACAGAACACGTTTGCACAAGTAAATGACAGGTTGAGCTCTTCTCCTGCTATGGCAGTGAAACAGCCAAACAACTTGAAACAGCCTGTAAAACACACGTTAACACAACACTGGTCTTCTGTCTGTTTGTCAAACAAAACAAAACACACTGAATTCACCGTATCATCAGAGTTTTCCTTATAGTTTTATTTGTGCTCCAAGTTTGGTCCCAAATGTATCAAGCACCACAATTAAAAAACCCCAAAAACAAACAAAAAGAAAAGAAAAAAAACGAAACATAAATATAAACTTAAAAAATGAGTATAGACATGGTTGAAGAGTCAGGAGTAAAAGTGAAGGTAGTGAAAAGAGATGGACAGAAAACTTTTTTTTCTCTATGCGGTTTTGTTTTTGTTTTTTTACAAGACACTTAGTTCCTGCATTGTTACTTCCAGGGTTTTTTCCAATTCTGTTTTTTTTTCTATGGCCAGGGATAGTTGTCCTGTAATTGAGAAGAAAACAAAGAAAAGGCAGATGTCAAGTATGTAGAATCAGAAAAGAAAACATTCAAATTGTGTACAAAAGTGGTTCTAAAACTATGGTGCATGTACCACTGGTGGTGTTCATGGATTCTCTAAGTGGTATGCTGGGCAATCAATTTCCCATTAGGATTAAGTGAGTTACTTAGTTGTTAAACACCACTTGTTACTGTATATGCCAAACACCAGAGTTCAATTATTTGCCAGTTTTTTTCTTCTCATTGTTCAGTAACAGTAAAGTAACATTTCACCATGTGACATTATGGACTGAACTGGACAGAATAATGAAACAAAGTGTACCTTCCAAATCCACCACAGTCTTTTTCAACTTATCTGCAGATCTCTCTGCAGACTCGGCATGGATTTCAGCCTTGAAACACAAAATAAAATGATTATTTTATCCCTATACCCCACACATCTTTTCACATAGTCGGAATGCACATTAACTTACCTCCTTAAGCTTGTCATCTAGTAATTTTATCCGCTCCTCATATCTGTCTTCTTTCTCAGAGCACTGGGAAAAAAAATGGAAAAGAAATGTCCATTTTCATTGATGTAAAGATTGATCTAGATTGTAATGTTTACTACATATATACATATTTTACAAAGTATGAGGGTTGCTAGGGGCTTAAAATATATTAATTTTGAAGGCTGTCTAGTTTTCCAATATACTTAAAACAGAAAATGCTTTTCAGAACTTTTTTTTACTACTTTTTATTATTTACCATTTTCTTTCCTAATTACATTTATTACAGTAAAAGCTCGACCTATTGTTATCTGATTTTTGTTTACCCTGGTTTCTCTATTTCTAATTATGTGTGATTATGTGTTATAATTATATTTGTATCACAATGCTCCTTAAAAAGTGTTGTTGGTGAAATCATAAAAAAAATAAACAACTAACACTTACCTCAAAAGACAGAGCTTCTAGGGACTTTGTGTTTTCTGTTACATTTTTGAGAGTCTCTACCATCTCACTGCATTTGCTGCATTAAACACAAATAGTTTTAAGTGATTTCACTTGAAATACCACAAAAGTTGAACTATTATGTTTGGAATAATTAAAAAAGGCTAGAAACGCCTCCAGAGGTCTTACCTTTCCCCATTTTCTGCCCGCACTTCTGCTCTCTCCAGGTCACGCTCCAGGACAACCAGTTTCCTTGCAACCTAAGATGTAAAAGACATTGAATAAGTGTTTAAAACTTGTCAGCTGAACCTCACAGAGTCAGAAATTAGAGCAGTGATGAAAACTCCAATGGTCCAACCTCCTCATATTTGCGATTAGCTTCCTCCGCGATTTGTTTGGCTTCTTTAAGTTGCATCTCCTGAATTGCCATCCTCTCCTCCTCGTTCATGGCTCTGTCTTCAAACACCTTCCTGTCTCTGAACATTAGGAAGATGCAGACATTAGAGAATGACAGACTTGCAGCATTTTTTTCTTAGAAACTGGAACATTATGGCAACCCAAGCAGATATGAGATGCTTTAATTAATTTACAATAATCCATATTAAGTTCAATGGTTTATTAACTGTCTGACTTGACAAACTGCTTACTTTTAGGTACTCCTTATACTTTAACTGATTTTAACTAGTTATTACTTTAAGTTATTGGTTTAAAAACTTCAAATCTTTAACTGTACATCACGTTTTCTTATTAACTACTACAAACTAACTAAATAACTAACTATACACACGGTGGATATTCATACCATACCCGTATCACGTGCACAGAATTATACATATTTCATAAACACATTCACTTTGTGACATTAAGATATATAATACAATTAAATTGTTTAGTCTAATGATGAATTCCAAAGAACTGAATTTTTTTTTTTTTTTACTTTAAACAGGATGTACTTTCTCATGTATCACCACAGTCACCTTTCACTGTCATACGCCATCTTCTCTGCCTCTTCCAGTTTTTGCAGGGAAACGGCCAGTCTCTCCCCGGTGCGGTCCAACTCGCTCTCCACCAGCTGGATCCTGCGGTTCAGAGATGCCACCTCACTCTCAGCCTGCAGTAAATAAAAACGGATTAAATGTCAGTCAAATATTTACTACTGATTTTAAAAAGGTTTGACAGTCAGATGTTAAGGTAGGACTGCACAGGTGGATGCACAGTTGGGTTTTCCATTATTTCATAATGAAAAGTTTGACAAAAGAAACTGAAGGCATTACAAAGAAGAAGAAGAAGAAAAAAAAAAATCAACTTCCGGGACCATCCCTGACCAGACACGCCTGACGTCATAATAAGGGGGTTCGAAACTTTTTGAGGGGCTGTATTCGATATAGGGCGTGTTTGAGTTAGATAACAGAGCCGAACAACTGCTTTAGAAGAAATGCAACTGCATTTCACCACACCTTACCATCAGCCCTTTAATCAACCAAAGTGAAACCTTATGAGATTAAATAAGTCAAGTTTTGTAGGGACAGACGGGGAAGTTTGAAAAGAGCACCAGGTAAGTGACAAGCGTTATCCCGGCTGCCAACAGCGGAAAACCAACGACTCCATGTTAATTTTTTGCAGTTGTGGATGTAAAGTAGGGAAAAAAAACAGTTCCAGATGAACAAAGAAGAATAAATCCTCTCACTTCTTCACGCAGCTTCCGTTCCGCCAGCAGGTCGCTCTGTATTTTGGCCGCTCGGTCTTCTGCCTCATCCCGCTGTTCAATTAAACCTTGGAGTTTCCTCTTCACTGACTCCATGACTTCTGTGTCTCTGTGTTTGTCTACTGAAGAACAGCCAGCGCCGGTGTGTTCTCCGAAATGGGCGATCCTTGTTCAGAGTTCCACAAACTTCTCACAGTGGAGCAAAGAACGACAGACGTGTTTGGGAGGAGGGAGAGAGAGAGTTGGAGGTGGGCGGGGGGCGATGCAGTTTTCAGGAAATTTATGGTGAGCTCCTCCAATCGTGTGAAGAAGTCGGGTCCCGGATGACATCACAGGATTTAGGAGGGGAAGAAACTGACCCTTTTCCTCCACAAAAGAAAAGAAATGTGTTTGCTACAGTGTGTGTGCGTGTGTTTTTTTAAACCCTTTGTCTAAATATTCCTTATTAGGACTTAGCCTCCGAAAATATAGGCCTTCATAAAGTATTATTTTATACATGCATGGACAAACTAGGGTGTGCAGCCCTGACATAGCCCGTTGGCCTTTTTCGTCTGTCCCATTTCGGTACAAAACTGTGTGGATAGTAATATTAATAATATTGTCAAAACTATAATAAAGACCACATATTCTGATCACTTGGATTTACTTGGACCAGAACCTGTCAAAATCTTCAGCTTCAGTCACATCAGTTGATTTGTGAAATGAATCAGACTAAAGATTTTAAATCAACAGCCTGTCTCAACACTGTCTCACAATTCAACTTTCCATCCACTTATTGTTGCTTCATTTTCGTTGACTCATCATTTTTATCCATGACGTAGTCAAAAACTGTCCTTTCTAAGATAAAAATCAAATGGGAATGTGGGGCTAAATACGCTGACGGAAGGTACTGCTGCACGTCCAATCAGAGCTGGGTTTTTTTTTCATGTAACGAGAGCTGAACAAATAAGGACAAGACTCAATCTGAGGTATGTTGATCGTGTAGAAGGCGGGACATGGTGTTCAACATAGGGACGGAGGGAATGTGTTTCCGGTAGTAGAACAAAAAGAAGACAGTATGTAGGCAGGACTTCACCCTGTTTCCATTATCCCATAATTTTTACATATAGAAACATGTGTGAAACACATACACCCACCTACTGTTATTATTCTTTTTTGTTTGAGCAATATATTGGAAAAAGCAAGAAAAGAAATCTGGGTCATACATGTCGTGGCTCACATTTAACCAGACTGTCAAGATTCCTGTTTTTTTCTTCTTTACTGAATTACCTGAAGGATACAACTCTGTGGATGGCACTGCAAAAGGAAGCTGAATGACCAATGAATTCAACAGATACCTTTACTATACGACAGTGGGGGCTACAGGTCCTGAGGGAGCAGATTGTAATCACCCCCGCAGACCCCCTCCTTCTCAAAAAAGAAATCCTAGAGCATTGATTCCATTAGACACTGCAG